GACCCAGGATTTTCATTTTAGCTATATACTGAAGTACTTCGTTCTACTAACAATTGCATGTATATATTCACCAAAAGACAAGCGCAAGAATGTTCTTAGCAGCACTATTCATAGTAACTCAAAACTAAAAACAACCCAAATGTCTATCAACCATAGGATGGATGAATAAAATGTAGTATATTCATACAATGGAATACTCCATAGCAATGATAATGAATGTAAACCTACATGTAACCACATGGGTGAATCTCACATATAATAAATGCTGAGCAGAAGAAGACACAAAAGAGTTCCTACTTTGATTCCATTTATGTAAAGCTTAAAACCTTCCAAAACTAAGTTAGTATGTTAAGAATTATGATGGTCATTATCCTTGAGGCAGGAAGAGATTGGGAGGGAGTATGATGGGCAATTTTGGGTTCTAGTAATATTCTGTTCCTTGATCTGAGTGCTGGTTATGTGGGATGTTCATTTGTGTGCCTTTATGCATGTATGTCATGCATTAATAAAAAGTGTACACAAAAATAAGTGTAAAATAGGCCTTGACTAGTGTGGCTCAGTGGATTGAGTGCCGGCCTGAGAACCAAAGGGTTGCTGATGTGATTCCCAGTAAGGACACATGCCTGGGTTGTGGGCCAGGTCCCCAGTGCAGGGTATATGAGAGGCAACTACACATTGATGTTTCTTTCCCTCTCTCTCTCCCTCCCCCCTCTAAAAATAAATAAATAAATCTTGAAAATATATAAGTATAAAATAATGACAGTGCAAAAAGTTGACACTATAAGCACGAAGAAAAAATATTTAGTGCTTACTGTGTCCTGGGAATCGTTCCAAGTGCTTTATATTTTTAATTTATTTAATCTTTACAAGTAGAGTGAATAACACAACTTAAATCAGAGATTAATACTATAGATCTTTAAAAAGGCAAAAGAAATAGCCATTAGGACCATAAGGTAACTTTTTTGCATAAAGGTTAATAGAACAGCCAAACTTCTTACAGGAAATATCAAGACAAAAGACAGAGATAAAAATAATGTGTATCCTGGATTGGAAGAGTATTATCCTTCCATTATTAGGGTTGGAAGGGGGACATGACTACAGAATAAATTATTTAATAATCATAAGAAAATACTGTGCATATCTTTCTGTCCAGAATTTTAAAAATAGATTATATAATTTTTAAGGAAAATAAAAATTATCAAGTTGGTTTCAAGAAGAAATAGCAACTCTGAATATTATAATAACTATAGAAATTGACTTGGTAAAAGAAATTCTTATAAGAGTACCATGCCTAAACAATTTTATAGATAAGTTTGCCACATCTTTAAAGTACAAACAAGCTCTGTTTTATGCAAATTCTTCCAGCAAAGAGAAAGAGAGAATAGATGTTAATTTGTTCATTTTTATGAAACTAGTATAGCCTTGATTTGAAAACTGAATAAGGATAATACTAGAAAGTAAAATTATGGGTTTATCTCACATATGAAGAATATGCAAAAATTTTAAATACCAGCAATCAAATCTTGCAGTATTTGGGACACTTCTGGTCAAGATGGCAGTGTAAGCTCGCCTCTTCGCACAACTACACTAAAATACAGCTAAAATATAGAATAACAATCACTCAGGAATATCAGAAATCAAGCTGAATGGAAGTCTTAACAACTACAGAATTCACAAAACCACATCCTTCCAGAGTGGTAGGAGCGGCACAGACATAGAATGGGCTGGGCCCTCACCCATGTGGATAAAAATTCAGGAGTGATATCTCAGGATTGAGGAGTCCCAGCCCAACACCAGGCCCTCCAGCCCATGGTTCCTGTGTTAGGAAGATAAGTCCCCACAACTTCTGGCTGCAAAAACCAGTGGGGATTCAGTCAGTGGAAGAAACTCCTGGAGCCCCAAGCAGTTCCTCTTAAAGAACCCACACACAAACTTACCTACTCAGACTTCCTCTCTCTGACCTCCAGCAGTGGGGTAGCAGTTTGAAAGACACCAGTGGTGTACAGGAAAAAACTGAAGTGTCTGGCATCAAGGCAAGCAGAGACCATTGTCCCTTTGCAACCCTCCCCCCACAGAGCCAGCAAGCTGGCTAACACTGTTTGACCCACCTTGGAGGTACCCAGAGACTCCACCCCACCACTTTACAGCCCAAAAGAAGCTGCTTTTCCATAGGAATGGCTGGTCTTGTCTCCTAAATACTGTCAAACAAGCCACAGCTAGTTTCAGTGAGCCCTCTGGCAGCCAGATTAGAATCATAGCTTGGCTTTGCCTGGGAATCTCCAAGCCCAGCACAAGTAGCAGCCATCTCAGATTGCTTTACAGCTCACACAGGATGCCTCAGGAAAAATACATGTGCAGGCTAACTTTGGCCTGTACCACCCAGGAAACCCCAGGGCCAGTGCACCCAGTGGAGGGCTACAGACCACGTCAGAACACCCCCACTCTGCCCCTGCACAGCTGATCCTCCATGGGGGGTAGAAGTTGGTAGTCAGTGGTCACAGCCAGTTCTTGCATCTGACTGGCCTGGGTAAATCCATCCCATTGACCTGCCAACAGCAACCAAGGCTGAACTACAAGAGGAGGGGAGTACTAAGCCCATAAGAAGGGTGTACCTTGAGTACCCAGCTTGGGTCATAAGGGAGGCCAGGCCACTGGACCCTACAGGACACCTACTATATTAAGCCATATTACCAAGACACAGAGTCAAAGAAACTCTACCTAATACATAGAAACAAACACAGGGAGGCTGCCAAAACAAGGAGACAAAGACACATGGCCCAAATGAAAGAACAAATCAAAACTCCAGAGAAAGAGCTAAATGAAATGAAGATAAGCAATTTATCAACTTCAGAGCTCAAAACATAGTTTATAAGGATGCTCAAAGAACTTATTGAGGACCTCAGCAGCATAGAAAGGACTTGTTGGGAACCGCCCCGCCTGGTTTCAGAAGTTGTAACCCTCCAACGGCTAAGGCTGAGTGAGCGACCTTGGGACCATAAGAGGCTAAGGAGACAAAGCTATCTCCCTGGCAGGGGCACTGCCTCTGCTCCTTTTATTTCACCCTGCCTGGCCCCCAGTGCTTGATCGACTAGCCAGTGATGGGTAAGATGCCTCAAGGTAGGGATGACCTAAGACAGACATGATCATGGGGAGCCCCCAGGGAAGGGGCTGTAGCAAAAGGGGGTGATGGACCCTTGTCCCTCGGCTTTGACATAACCTGAGTCCTCATTCTGTGTGCAAAAATCTTCTAATCTTTTGGCTGCCATACTTCTCCTGCCTGACTTAAGCCTGAAACAGTGACAGAGGGCAGTGCAGCCCTATGTTGGAAAGGAAGGGTTCTCCAGGTGACCAGGCCTGAGAAAGAGTATATAAAATCCTGTGAAACCTGTTTTGCTAAGAATGCTCTCAATTTTCTGATAAGGTTCGAGCAGGAAGTGAGTTTGTTTCCCAAAGTTTTGTAGCCCTTCTCCTTTGAGAGATCGGCCACCTTTCCTCCCCAAACAGATTATATCTTGGTAGACTTATTCTCATCCATGGTGACCAGGGTGGCCCTGAGGGTAGAGTCCCACCCACAAGGACTGAGTCAGAAATGAAAGATACACTAATTGAAATAAAGAACAATTTTTGCAGGGAAGCAACAGTAGAGTGGATGAAACCCAAGAATGGAACCAATGATTTCGAACATAAGGAAGCAAAAAATAACCTTGGAGAACAATGTGAAGAAAAAAGAATCCAAAAAAATAAGGATAGTATAATCAGCCTCTGGGACAACTTCAAGAGGTCCAACATTTGTGTCATAGGGGTGCCAGAAGGAGAAGAAAAAAGAGCAAGAAACTGAAATCTATCTGAATAGTGAAAGAAAATTTCCCTAATTAGGTGGAGGAAATAGACATGCAAGTCCAGGAAGGACAGAGAGTGCCAAACAAGTGGATGCAAAGAGGCCCACTCCAAGACACATCATAATTGAAATGCCAACAGTTAAAGAGTCTCTCTTTAAGAGACTCTTAAAAGCAGCAAGATAAAAGAAGTGAGTTATCAGATGGTTGCCAGATGGGAGCAGGGAGGGGAGAATGGGTAAAGAGGTGAGGGGATTTAGAAGTATGATTAGGTAGTTGCATAATAGTCATGGGAAGGTAAAGTACCGTACAGGAAATGGAGTAGCGAAAGAACTTATATGCATGACCCATGGACATGAACAATGGTGGGGGTAAGTGCTCCTGGCATTTAGCACATGGGATGTGGTTTGAGGAGTAGGCTGGTATGGATACTGAACATTTTGTCCTGCCTGGGGCATTGCTATAGAAGAAATAATTGTCCACTGTGGCAGTAATAGTACCCTTGTTGAAAAATGTTGAATCGGTGCAGTAAGATAAGAGAAAATAAATGAGGTTTGAGGATTAGAAAGAAGCAAAACTATCGTTATCTGCAGACATTGTGGTTGTTTAAAAAATCAAATGAAATAACAAAATATTAGAACTAAGAACTTGAGTTCAACAAGGTAGTTGATTATGAAACCAGCATACAAAGATCAGTAGCTTTCCTATATATGAACAATGTCTAATTAGAAATGTTGAAAAATAATATTTTAATAGCAGCAAATAACAAAGCACCTAGGAAATCACTTAATAAAAACATGCAAGGCAGCTATGGAGAAAAATATAAATTGTGAGCTTCTGCAAATTAATTTTACATGTCTTTGTATTTCAAAATATAGATTTGTCTCTGTAGGGCATATCGAGGTGTGATTATTTAGTAGTCACATAATATTTTTCAAATACTTTCCAGCATCTTACATGTAACTAAATAAAATGTCTTCTGGATGAATTACTAACAAGAAGCAGTGCAGGGCGCAGCTGTGAGGCACATCTGGAGGGTGTTTCCTAATATTTTATCCTGTCAAAACCTTAAAGAGGACGGGAACTGAAAGGGAATACATTAAATACTGGTAGGCACATGAGTTTGTCCGTGTGTTCCTAAAATGTGTTTGCTTCACCCTTCAGGGCGAGGTCTTCCGGCAGGACAAGCTGAGGTTGAGATGATCGAACGTGCCCGGGAGAAGCGAGCCTGGGAAGCCACTCTTCCCCCGCTGAGTGACATCTCCCAGTTTGAGAAGAGAAGGAGGATGATGAATGAGATGGAAAGGAAGGAGTGGGCTTTCAGAGAGCAGGAGATTGAAAAGTAGGTTCTCAGTCACTCAGACAACTGCTCCTGGGCTGGTGGGGGTAACGTTAACACTTGCCCTCTGTAGAGCATTTCCCCAAATGTATTAGGTTTAAAAGTAATTTTCAGGCTGTAGAGGTAGGAAATTGGGTTTCTGGTTCCTTCAGGGACAATAACACTATATATAGTTTTCTCTCCGTTGATATAAAAATGTGTGATGCCCTGTTGGTGTGTGCGGTGCAGCATGGAGCCCCAACCTGAGCAGTTCCTGAAGGCGTCTCTGATTCTTCTCTTCCGCTTTCTCTTCAGTCTCTAATCCAGACTGTCATAGATCCCCACGGACTTGCGTGTGTCTTTTAAACGCTCCCTTTCAGTTTATTCCCAGTACCACTGTCTGGAGGTCTTGGCCCACTTCCTGTCCATCAAATAGCCTCCTAGCTGATCCTGTCTCTTATTCCCCCTGGTACTGGTTCACAGGCAGAACACCTTGGGTTCCAGGTGTAGCTAATGGGGCATTTTCTATTTGAAAGCCAAATTGTGAAATTCAATTATGAAATGAGCTCAGAGCACGTAAATAACAATATGCTGAGGTACATCTGGTTGAGTTTTCAATAATTTTAACTGAGGTATTTTTATTAATGAGGTGGTTGTCCCTGGAATATGTAGAAATGACAACTCCCTAGGAAGGAGAGAAGGGAGGGAGGGAGGGAGGGAGGGAGGGAGGGAGGGAGGAAGGAAGGAAGGGAGGGAGGGAGGGAGGGAGGGAGGGAGGGAGGAAGGAAGGAAGAAAAAAAGAAAGAAGGAAGGAAGGAAGGAAGGAAGAAGAAGAAGGAAGGAAGGAAGGAAGGAAGGAAGGAAGGAAGGGAGGAAGGGAGGGCATTTACACCAAGGCTGTCATTTTTCCAGGCTGTGATGGGGCACCTTATTGTTCATAGCAATGATACCAAAGCCCCTAGCAGTGTGCTTGCATATAAAAAAGTTAGGGACCAAGAGGCTCTGGAACTCAGTGTAGTCTGAATTCAAAATATGTTTACCTTTTTGCAACACTTTCTGATAAACCCTGAATCAGGACTGGATGGTGTTTGGGTAAGAGCTTGCTATTTAATAAAAAATACTGTTTGGAGCAAAGTAGTGCTCTGCAGAAATTTAAATTTATTGCTGCAAATTGTAGAGCTATATTGTTGTCAGAAGCACATTAAAAAATACTAAAATTTGCCCTGGCTGTGTAGCTCAGTGGATTGAGCACCAGTTTGTGAACCAAACTAGGTTCGCTGGTTTGATTCCCAGATAGGGCACATGCCTGGGTTTCAGGCCAGGTCCTCAGTGGAGGGTGATCCAGAGGCAACCACACATTGATGTTTCTCTCCCTCTCTTTCTGTTTCCCTTCCCCTTTCTAAAAATAATAAAATCTTTTAAAAAAACCCTAAAATTCTGTCTGGCTAGAATGAAGACATCACTGGAGAAAGTGAGCACTTTGTTAAACTGAGGATAATTTTAAGCAATAGGTTTTGTGTCTCTCCTATGTGCCAGGCCCTGTGCTGTGAGTTGGGGAAACAGGAATGGATAGGACATGGCTGTGCCCTAACGGAGTTCCTGATGGTCCACTGGGGTGGGGAAGGAAGGTGGTAGGGGTTGGGACAAAAGACGTTCAGACCAACTCACATGTAGGGCCTATCAGGTGATGGGCTGCTCTATGTACAAAGTACTAGGGGAACCCAGGCAAGAGAACCATCAGCTCTGTTTGTGGTGAGTGGAGATTTGGGAAAAACTACTGAGAGAAGGTAGCCTCTGAGCTGGGTGTTGAAGAATGCATACGAAGTCATCAGGTAGATGATAGTATCAGTGATGATGATGGTGATGGTGATAATGATATTCATAGAGCGTGTATCTCTTACAGAGTGCTTATGATGTGCTCGGTCCAAATTCCAAATCAATACTTCTGAAAGTGTAGTCCAAAGATCAGCAGCATCAGCAAGATCTGGGAACTTGTTAAAAATGCAAATTCTCAGGCCCAACGAACTAAATGAGCGGTTGGGTACAGCCATCTGTGTCATAAGAAACCCTCCGGGTTATCTGGTGCATGCTCAAGTTTGAGAGCTACTCTTCTAGCACATTGTACACATTAACTCATTTCATGATCACAACAACCTAATAGGATGGATACTGTTACTATAGTTATTTTATGACTGAAGAAATCAAGCTAAGTGATGAAGTTGAGCATTGAACTGAGGATTTCTAACTCAGAAAAAAAGGTGGCTGTTGGTGTGTGGCTTATTTTTTTTAAACACCCCCGTCTCCATGTCACTTGTCACTACTCCTCACCCTCCCACGCATATTCACTGTGAGAAGCTCCACCGGTGTGACATGTTAGCTTTGTCCTTCATCCTTTTGAGTCAAACACTCAGTTTCCTCTGCTAAGGACTTGCTTTTCTCCCTTGTCAACGTGGCAAATCTCAATCCTTGTTTATCCTGAAGACTGCCACATCAACGACTACTCAAAGGAGGCCTTCCCCCACCGTCTTCCTCCTCCCCGCTGACCAACTGGGCATCGTGCTAGACATTGGTGCTCTGCCATTTCTTCTCCCACAGAAATCTTTCCATTCTTCTGGCCTGGTATTTACCTCCTTGTGTTGTAAATATTGGCTTATATGCGAACTTGGATATTGGCTTATATTGGCTTATATGGAATAATGCTTCTTCAGAGAAGGTGCTTAGTTTTATTCATTGATGATTGTTTGTCTGGCATATGGGGAGCACTTAATAAATATTCGGCAAATGAACAACTGAATAAATTACTATATGAGTTTTGAAGTAGGAGTAAAATGTGTAAATCTCTATTTTATGAAGGGAAGTCTTTTTTTAAAAGATTTTATTCATTTATTTCTAGAGAGAGGGGAAGGGAAGGAGAAAGAGAGGGAGAGAAACATTAATGCGTGGCTGCCTCTCCTGTGCCCCCCACTGGGGACCCAGCCAGCAACCCAGGCATGTGCTCTCACCGGGAACCGAACCAGCGACCCCTTGGTTCTCAGGCCTGCTCTCAATCCACTGAGCTATAGCATCCACGGCTGAAGGGAAGTCTTGATAGCTATGTGGCACAAGGATTGAAAGGGAGAAAGCCTAGACTAGCAACTAGAGTCCCAATTAGGGGAGAGATGACAAACATGAGCTAGAGAATGGATGCAAGAGCTGTTTTAGAGGGAAGAAGATTTAAGAGAATGTGTAGATTTCTGGGGGAACAAAGTGAGTGGGCTTTTTTGAGGATGTCAGGGAATAGCCAGAAGTTTAAATAGACAGAAATTCTGGTTCAGAAATATATGGGCTGGTCCTGACTGGTGTCATTCAATTGGCTGGAGTGTTGTCCCGCAAAGCGTAAGGTTGTTCAGTTCCAGGTCAGGGCACATGCCTGGGTTGAGGTTTCAGTCCCCAGTCAGGGTGCACGCAGGGGGCAACTGACCCATGTTTCTCTGTCACATTGATGTTTCTCTCTCTTTTTCTCTCCCTTCCCTGCTCACCAAAAATAAATAAATAAAATCTTTTTAAAAAAGCAATACCTGGGCTGGAGATAAAGACTTTAAAGTCATTTGTACATGATTGTACACACACACGAGCAAAGTAGCCCTGCGAGAACAAGGCAAAGGTGAGGGGAAGGGAAGCAAAGGTCAACTGAGAGACCGATGTGTGCCAGACACTGGCATTTGCACATCCCATACTTAAGATAGGATGCCACAACCTCATCTTCTCTTTGCTCTTGTTTCCTAGCCCTCCAGCAACCACGCAACCTGGTACTGTGCATGAACATCCTGTTTATTTTTCCCCATCTACCCGGCACACTCATCTTTGTCCTTCAAAATTGCACCGGTGTATATTCCTGTTATACACTCACTACTGAGTTGTCACCCCCAGGTCCCCAGTTGTCATACTTTGCCAGAGTGGTCTTTTTATATGATACCAGCCTAAACAGAAGATCCAGTTTATGGCAGGTATTCCCTTTCTCTCTAGTGGAACACCCTATTTAAGATACCATATACTTCTTTGTTTTGTAATTTATTTGAAGACTGCAGGAGATTCGCCTGGAAGTTCTAAAGGAGCTGCTGAAGAAACGTGACAAGAATCAGAATGAAGTGAATATGAAGCGCTTGAATGCCCAATGGTCTAAACTGCAGGAAGCAAAGGAGGCAAAACTGGCAAAAATTCAACGCACACATGTATCAGGTAATGGCGTAGTATGAATGATGAAGGGAATGAAAGTCTGTTTTGCTCTGGATCTTCGATCGAACCTAATTTAACTGTGACATAATTCTATTTTGATCCTAGTGTTATTTAATAGGTAAGGGATGGAAGATGACTTATTTCTCAAAAGTATAAGAGTGGACAAAAATTCCTTACTAAGAAAATGAAGTGATGATACTCCAGCAGCTAGTCAAGCTATTGACATAATGGGTGTGTGAGTGCGTGTGTGCTGATGTTTGGCCCTGGGTACAGGGTCCTGTCTCCCAACCATTTTTTTCATTGCTTCCCCCAAAAGCAACATTCAGAGATCTTTTTTCCTACTTCCCCCTTCCCATGAAGTTTTAATACCAGTTATACTGAATATTTATGTACAAGTATATCTGTACTTTATATATAAAAAGAGGAGTCAATAGAAGATTAAGAATGACTAAATAAAATTTTAAAATAAAATAAAAATTGTTTTAACATTACCATATCACTTAACTTTATAGCTATATTTATTAAGTTTTAATGTACTTAATTTACTTATAAAAATTGTAATGTATCAATTATATTAACATGCAAATTAGCAATTTATATATGTAATAGCAATATAATCTCATTTTTAAAATGAGTCAGAATTGTCATTTTTCTAGCAAAAATAAATTTACAAAATTAATTCTTAAAAAATTATTTTTAGTGCCTTTAACTTTTAACTTTTCTTATTTATGTATTTATGTATTTATTTATTTACTTTTCAACTACAATATTCTGTCTTTTACTCCCATCCCAGCCCACCCCCTTGTGCCCCCCACCTCCCTCCTATTTCCACCCCCCTTAGTTGTTGTCTATGTGTCCTTTATACTAGTTCCTGTAAGTCCTTCCCCTTTTCCCCTGAAATTCCCTCCTCTCTCCCCTCCCATTGCTGTCTTCTTGATGTGAGAAAATAGCTTTCAACTTTAGCTGCATTTAGATAGTATCGACATATTTTTTTTTCAGAACTTGACATATTCTAATTTATTCCAGTGTTAGCCAAGATGGGCAGGAATTATTGAAGAATCTGTCATTTTCTCTCCCTTTAATTATTCTCTTAAGAGAGAATAGTTATTCTTAAGAGAGAATAGTTATTCTCTCTTAAGAGAATAATTAATTCCTTTAGTCTCCATTGAAAATGTGCTTTCTTTTCAGTTACTTTGAGCTTCTTTCACTTATTTAACAAACTTTTATTGAATATCTCTTCTCGGGCCAGAGCTGGAACACCGTATAAAAGACTTGTGATGAGCACTAATGGAGGGCACTAACTGATTCAGCTTCCATCACTGCTGCCTGGGCCACAGACGATAGATTTCTGTTGTTACTGCTATGTTCTTGCTTCAGCGAGTGGCCATCATAAAATTCATTCAGTTCAGCAGCTTCCCTGAGATCAAAGCTAGAACTGGTTTACTAATCTGCACTTGGCTCATTCAGGACAATATTTTGGAGATAGTCATAGAGGTGTGTTTTATTGTAGCAATCAGAAAACTTGTGGGAAAGAGAAAGAATGTAGAAGGGAAGTTGGAGAGAAGAAATATCATCGAGGATTACTCTGATTATGCATCACAGGTCTACGGACCTCTCTCTCGTCTTGGACGTTTCCCAGACAACAACTCAGAGGATTTTGTAGTGAAAAACCACTATCTTGACACCTATGAAGGTAAGCAACTCACATAATTACTAGTTGAGTATAAGGAGGTTATCTTAGAAATATAAATTAAGTATATAATTTATATATGTCCTGGGGAGGAGAGTCTTCCTGTGCCTTGATGTGAGTAATACTTTACGTCTTTTATGCTAGTGATTGGGGTTATCTATGGTTATTCTCAATTGATAACAAAATATACCACAGTCAGATTAGCTAAACAAATATAAGATTGTATAGTTCAATAGTTGTGGAGATAAAAAGAAACAGAAATTAAATATATAAAACATAGCAATTTAGATTAAAAGCCAAACAACAAATAAAAATACTTGCTAAAAGTAGTAATTAATATATTTAATATTATTAATAATGTGAGTTGATAGAAACTAATACAAAGTACTAAGACCTTAATAAATAAGTGGATACACTATACAACAGTTTACTAAGGAATAAAGTCAATTAGCTACTAAACATTTAAACATGTTTAATGTCAGTAATAATCAAAGTTAGGCAAAAATGAAATAGAAAAAGCCCTTATATCAGATTTGTGAAGCAAGCAGGAAATATATAATAAAATTAGTCCTTTAAGAAGAAATGCCAGAAAACTAGTGAGTAAAAGGTTGGGAAACCGGGTGTTAAATTCATGAAGAGGACTATGTCTGTTATAAAGTTCCAAAGAGGCTTTTATTTAAATTATTTAAATTTTCTTTGACAAGTTGAAGTATCACATGGTCAAAATCATGTGTTGAAGGTGACAATGCTGAACTTGTAGCTCTGGCTTATCATCGCCAGAGCAGAGTATGATAAGGTGGTATCCATCCACTTCAGAATGGTAGTGCCATGTGTCACATGACCATTAACCTTCTGTTGACTTTTATTGTGGGATTTCTTTTTTTTTTGGTAGGGCAATGTTTTCATTGTAGAATACACTTCTTATTTTTTTAGTATAAGCCCCTGAGAACATGAGTTTATACATAAATCTGCTTTATACTTTGGGGATAATTCAGTTATATGAGATACACTTTATCAATAATTCTAAATGAGACCACTTGGCAAATAGTTATTAAAATTAACAGTCTACTTTCAAAATGCTACATTTAATCATAGACACTAAAAACATGTACTTCCTTTCTATAGGATTAGTTGAACTTGAGTCATGTCTCCCAGAGTTTGTGACACAACCCCGAATCAGATCTCCAAAACCTAAAGTCATCACCACCAAGGCTGGTTTCCTGAAGAGGGCTGCAAGGATGGACCATGAGTTGGCAGAGGTTCATCAGGTAGAATCCTTATCTGGAAGACAAGATACTTCTAGTAGAACTTTTGCAGAGAAATACTAAAATCCAAAAATTGCACTTTGTCTTGGGCAGCAATGCCCAGGAGTTCTCAACACAGAACCCTTCATTCCTGTTCTCTCTAGACTCGGTCTCCTGGAGATCGCTTGTGCTGTGTGGTGCTGAACCAGCGTGCATTCTTCACTCATTTCAAACCATAGGAAAACCTTTTGGGGGTTGTTCTCTTCATTTGCAGAGGCATGTTTCACTCTAAAAGTGGTTCTTACTTTGAAGCTACATAAATTTGACATGACATTAAGGTGTAGCAAGTTTCTAGTGTTAGGAATTACTTCTGGTTTTAGGTTATAATTGGCCTCATTTTCTCTCTTTTAGATTTGTTATCAGGGCATCATGGACAAAGGAGGTCATCATCAACTCTTCTCTCATCTAGTTTAAAACTTAACCAAATGAGAAAGCTTGATTGTTATCCCCATAAACCAAGTATATAGCATCCACCAGCTGGGCTTTTTATTTGTTAATTGGACAATAGGTGTACTGACTTGAATACTTCCGAATTTGTGTTTATGATAGTGGTGCTCAGCCTATATCATGCATCAGGATCCCTTGGATGCTTATAAAAACATGTTGCTGGGTCCCATCCCCCAAGTTTCTGATTTAGTAGGTCTGCGGTGGGGCTGGAGTATTGGCATTTGTTACAAGTTTCTGGGTCATGCTGATGCTTCAGGAACCACACTTTGAGATTCTTTGGTTTATGACATTTTCATCACTGGTCTATGCATGTTTGTTCAGATGGTTTTAGTAAGAGAATAAGAATCCATGGGATCCCACACTCAAGATAAAAATTCAGACCTTGACAATCCTTTACATGTATCTATGTGGTTCTTTCATAACTCATCCTTTATTTACCCATTCTGAAGTCTGTGTTCATTGTTCTCTCATGTTTTGTAAAAAAATTTTTTTGTAGCTACTCCTTAATTGGATATGGAAGTTCACCTCCATTTTAATTTACTTAAGCTTTAAATCATGTGCTTATGTTGATTTTGTCAAACATTTTATCTGCATTTATTGAGGTAATTATATATTTTTCTTTTTAAAATTATTGCATTAAGGAACAGTTATAGATTTTTTTTATAAATAATAATTTATCCTTACATACCTTGGATGAACCTAACTTGGTCAAAATATATTATCTTATTTTTAATACATTGTTGGATTTGATTTATTAATATGTTGTTCAGAATTTTAATTCTATATTCATGAGTGAAATGGCCTGATTTTTCTTTCTCATTTTGACTGATATGGCATCGATACCAGAATTATTCAGAATGTTCTGGGGGGCTTTCTTTCTTTTCTACTTTTCAAAAGGGTTTAAGTAAGTTTGAGATGATTTATTTCTTCAGTTGGGTTGATTATATAAAATTGTCTGAGACATGTTTTCTTTATGAGAAATTTTTAATCAGTCTTCAACTTCCTTTTAACTTAGAACTTTCTACATTGTTTTAGTAAATTATATTTTCTTTACAAATTCCATTTCACCTAATTTTTCAAATGTTTTGGAATATGGTTATTGATAGTATTATTTTATAATTCTTTTCATGTTTTATCTATAATCATGTCCATTTTTCATTTTCATTCATACCTTTATTTATTTGTAATTTAATTATTTTTCCATAATCAATTTTCCTAGATGTTTATTTATTTTATTGGTATTATTTCTGCAAACAATTTAATGTTTACTTTATTTTCTTTATTATACATGTTTATTTCAATTGCATTCATTCCCATTTATATTTATTATATCTTTCCACTTTCTTTGGGCCTGTTTTATAGTTCTTTTCCTAACTTAAACATGTAGTTTGTTAATTTTCAGTCACATATCCTGTATATATTTTGTACGTATTTAAGGTTAAACATTTCCTTAAAAAACACTGCTGTTGGTTCAGTCCATTAGTTTTGATATATAGTATTTGTCATTTTTGTTAATGTTTAATTTTTTTAAACATCCATTATGGTTTTTTAACCTTTGAGTATTTAACAGTGTGTTTTTTAAGTTTTCAGATAAGCAGGAATTTTAACTCATTTTTTAATTAACTTCTAACTCAATTGCTCTCTGGCCAGGGAACCTAGTGACATTGCTGTCATTCATTTTACTGATCCATATGCTATAATCACCCAATACATTCTTACTATTAATTATTTACCAGTTATCTTTTTAAATAAATTAAAAGAAAAATATTTTTTACCTTTTTTCATTCCCTCACCACTCTTCCTTTATATAATAGATCCACATTTCTGACGTATATCATTTTTCTCCTATCTAAAAAACTTGTTTTACTGTTTATTGCAGGGCATTTTTGCTGGCAATGAACTCCTTCAGTTTTGTCTGTCTCAGGAAGTCTTTATTTCTGCTTTATACTTTTTTGGAGATGTATTTCACATACCATAAAATTCACCCTTTTAATTATACAATTCAGTTGTTTTTTAATATACTTACAGGATTGTTCAACATCACCATGGAGCTTTCACTCAAGATGGCATAATAGTTACGGCTTGTGTCCTCACACAACCACATCAAAATTACACCTAAAATATAGAACAACCATCATTCAGAAACATCAGAAATCAAGTTGAATGGAAGTCTGACAATTACAAAATTAAAGAAACCACATCCATCCAGATTGGTAGGAGGGGTGTAGATGCAGAACGGGCTGGTCCCACATCCATGTGTGGTAGGTAAAATTTGGGAGGCATATCTCAGGAGTGAGGAGTCCCAGCCCCACACCAGGTCCCGTAGCCCAGGGTTCCAGTGCCAGGAAGATAAGTCCTCATAATTTCAGGCTGCAAAAAACCAGTGGGCATTGAGTCAATGGAAGAAACTTCTGGAGTCCTAAGCCGTTCCCTTCAAGAATTCACACACAGACTTACTCAGACTCACTTCCTCTGAGCACCAGGAAGCAGCTTAAAAGGCACCAAAGAGGAACTGAAGTGTCTGACATCAAAGCAGTAGCTAGGGGACAGCTTTCTCCCAGATAGAAAGGCCGGCAGAGGTCATTGTCTCTTTTCTGAGTCCTTCCCCCACAGAGTCACTGAGCCAGGAGGGGGTTGCCATATCTGAGACTCCGTCAACCTGGCAAACACCGTTTGTCTCGCCCTGGAGATGCCCTGAGACTCTGTCCCACCCAACTTAAAGCCCACCGAACTGTTAACCACAACCTTTCTGTATGAATGGCAGGTCTTAGCTTATGCTTCATAATTTCATAAATCCTATCAAACAAGCAACAGCTGGCCTCAGTAAGCCCCCAGCCCCCATACCGCTTGATAATTAGCCCCAGGCCTGGCACTAGCAGCAAAAGCTAGCCTAGATTCATAGTTTGGGTTCACCTGGGAATCTCCAAGCCAAGCACATACAGTAGCAGCCATCTCATATTCCTTTAGAGCTCATGTAGAGTGGCCTGGGGCAGAACACAGGTAAGGGCTGACTTTGGCCTGCACCACCTTGGAAAACCCAGAGCCTGCACATCCAGCGAACAGCTACTGACATGTCAGAGCACCACCACCCTGCCCCTGCACCGCTGATCCTCCATAGAGTACAAGATTGTCAGTGCTCATAGCCAGTTCTTGCAGCTGACTGGCCTGGGTAAATCCCTCCCATTGACCTTCCGACAACAATGAAGGTTCAACTACCAGAGGGGAAGTACTCAGCCCACACTAATGGTGCACCTTGAATACCAAACATGGGTGACTAGGGAGGTTGTGCCATTGGACCCTATAGGACACCTACTATATTAGGCCATGATACCAAGACACAGCCATAACAGCTCTACTTAATACATAGAAACAAACACAGGGAGGCTGCCAAAACAAGGAGATAAATAAACATGGCCCAAATGAAAGAACAGATCAAAACTCCAGTAAAAGAACTAAACAAAATAAAGAGAAGCAATTTATCAGATGCAGAGTTCAAAACACTGCTTATAAGGATGCTCAAGGAACTTAGTGAGGACCTCAACAGCATAAAAAATGTTCAGTCAGAAATAATGGATGGACTAATGGAAATAGAGAACACTTACAGGGAAACAACAGTACAGTGGATGAAGCCAAAAAATAAATCAGTGATTTGGAACATAAGGAGCAGAAAACCCAAAACAACCAATCAGAACATGAAGAAGAAAAACAATACAGAAAAACAAAGACGGTTTAATCAGTCTGTGGGACAACTTCAAGTATTCCAACATTTGCATCATAGGAGTGACAGGAGAAGAAAAAGAGCAAGAAATTGGAAATCTATTTGAAAAATAATGAAAGATAACTTCCCTAATTTGGTGAAGGAAATAGACATGCAAGTCCAGAAAGCACAGAGGGTCCCAAACAAGTGGATGCAAAGAGGCCTCCTCCAAGGCACACCATAATTAAAATGCCAAAGGTTAAGATAAAGAGAGAATCTTAAAAGCAGCAAGAGAAAAGCAGTTAGTTATCTATAGAATAGAGTCCCATAAGACTGTCAGCTGATTTCTCAAAAGACACTTTGCAGGCTAGACCTGATTGGAAAGGAATATTCAAAGTCATGAAAATCAGGGGCCTATAACAAAGATTGCTCCACCCAGCAAAGCCATAATTTAGAATTGAAGGTCAGACAAAGAGCTTCCCAGACAAGAAAAAAATAAAGGAGTTCGTCATCATCAAACCATGATTATATGAAAAGTTAAAGGGACTTATTTAAGAAAAAGAAGATAAAAACTATAAGCCTATGAACAATAAAATGGCCAAAAAATACATCTCTACCAACTCTTGAATCCAAAAAAACAAACTAAGAAAATAAGAACAGAGACAGAATCATGAATACGAAGAGCATTTTAATGGTTGCCAAATGGAAGGGGTTGTAGAGGAATGGGTGACAAGATGAGATGATTAAGAAGTACAAATAGGTAGTTACTAAATAGACATGGGGATGTAAAGTACAGTATGGGAAATGGAGTAGCCAAAGAACTTATACTCATGACCCATGGACATGATCAATGATGTGGGGATTGCCTGAGGGAATAGGCAGTGCTGGGTGGAGGATGACAAAGGGAGACAAAATCAGGACAACTGTAATATCATAATAAAATATAGTAAAAAAACCACATCACCACTATCTAATTCCAGAACATTCTCATCACCCCCGCAAGAAACCCTGTACCCATTAGTAGTCACTCCCAATTATCTACTTTTCCTTAGTCCTGGCAACCACTAATATGCATTTTTTAATAAATTTGTCTTTTCTAGGCATTACATATAAATGGAACCATACAATGCATGTCTTTTTGTGTCTGGTTTCTTTCACTTCACATGATGTTTTTAAAAGTTCATCCATGTTCTAGCATGTCTCAATATTTCATTATTTTATATGGCCACATAGTATTCCATTACATGGATATACACTTATTGTTCATCCATTCATCAGTTGATGGAAATTTGAATTGCTTTCTATAATACTGCTGTGTACCTTCATGTACAGATTTTTGTGTGGACATATGTTTTTCACTTCTCTTGGGCCTATACCTAGGAGTGAAATTTCTAGATTACATGGTAACTCTATGTTTTATTTATTGCAAAACTCGACTGTTTCAAAAGCATCTACATTGTTTTGCATTCCCTACAACAATGTATGATGGTTCCCATTTCACTACATCATCACTTTGCCATCACTTGTTATCATCCAGCATTTTTATTATTGCCATCCTAGTATATGTTAGGTAGTATATATCATTGTTGTTGTGATTTGCATTTGTCTAATTATGAAGGAGTTTTAGCATCTTTTTATGTCCCTTAGTTATTTGCATATCTTGTGGAGAAGTGCCTATTCATATTCTTAGCTCATTTCTAAACTGGGTTATCTTTTTATTATTTATTATAGACATATTTTTTCACTTTTTAAATATTTTATTGGTTATGCCATTACAGTTGTCCCATTTCCCCCCATTCATTCCCCTACACCCTGCACACCCTCTCCCCCACCATTCCCCCCTTTAGTTTATATCCATGTGTCACAAGTTCTTTAGATTCTATATTTCCCATACTATTCTTGCCCTTCCCCCTGTCTATTTTCTACCTACCGTCTATGCTACTTATTCTCTGTACCTTCTTCCCCCTACTCCTCCTCTTCCCACTCCCCAGTTGCTAACCCTCCATGTGATCTCCATGTCTATGGTTCTGCTCCTGATCTAGCTGTCCTCTTAGTTTGCTTTTGTTTTAAGTGTGGTTGTTAATAACTGTGAGTTTGCTGTCCTTTCACTGTTCATATTTTTTATATTGTTTTTCTTAGATAAGTCCCTTTAACATTTCATATAATAAGGGCTTGGTGATGATGAACTCCTTGAACTTGACCTTATCTGAGAAGCACTTTATCTGCCCTTCCATTGTAAATGAAAGCTTTGCTGGATAGAGCTATCTTGGTTGTAGGTCTTTGGATTTCATGACTTGGAATACTTCTTTGCAGCCCCTTCTTGCCTGTAAGGTCTCTTTTGAGAAACCAGCTGACGGTCTTATGAGCACTACTTTGTAGGTAACTGTCTCCTTTTCTCTTGCTGTTTTTAAGATTCTTTCCTTCTCTTTAATCTTGGGTAATGTAATTATGATGTGCGTTGGTGTGTTTCTCCTTGGGTCCAACTTCTTTGAGACTCTCTGAGCTTCCTGGATTTCCTGGAAGTCTATTTCCTTTGCCAAATTGGGGAAGTTCTCCTTTATTATTTGTTCAAATAAGGTTTCCACTGGTGGCTGTTCCTCTTCCCCTTCTGGTACTCCTATAATACGGATGTTGGAACATTTAAAGATGTCCTGGAGGTTCCTAAGCCTGTCCTCATTTTTTTGAATTCTTGTTTCTTCATTCTTTTCTGTTTGGTCATTTTTTTCTTCCTTCTGGTCCACTCCATTGATTTGAGTCCCAGTTTCCTTCCCATCATTATTAGTTTTCTGTGCATTTTGCTTCATTTCACTTAGTGTAGCCTTCATTTATTCCTCTAATTTGTGACTAAAATCAACCAGTTCTGTGAGCATCCTGATCACCAGTGTTTTGAACTGTGCATATGATAGGTTGGCTATTTTTTCGTTGCTTAGAAGTATTGGCTCTGAGGCTTTAATCTGTTCTTCTGCTTGAGTCATAACGTTTTGGTCTGTTCACACCTGTTATATATGAGGGGCGGAGCTTTAGGTGTTCACATGTCAACATATTTAGAATAAAATTCTTGGTAAGGAATTGCTGGCCTCCAATATATGTGCATCTATAATTTTGATAGATATTACCAACTTTTCTTACAGAAATGATATATTGATTTCAGCAATGCATAAGGGTGCCTGTTTTCACACATCCTTACTAATATAATCTATTATGAATGATTGGTTATAAATTATTTTGTGCGCTATTGCTCAGGGCATTTAGTATTGAGATGCCTGAGTTTAGAATTATTCATTACTTTTGAGACTGCTGCTTTCTGTTGATTTATTAGTTGTGGTCATCGTGGGGCTGTTATATATTCGCTGTCAGTTTAATTTTGAAGAAACCCAGAGGCTCTGTTACAACCACAGTGATTTCATGTGGTTCCAAATTTTACTTATAATTGGCATATTCTATTAATTTTAACTTTTGGCTTAGTGTTTTATCACTTATCTATTTTTTGTGGAAAAAATAATGTAAAAATTGTTATGTGATGAAAAAGTAACTAAGGCATGATTTTAAAATTATAGAGGTCAGAATTTTTGATACTTTTAACTTAAAGTATCCCCTATAACTGAAAATGGAGCTGATGAATAAAACCTTATGTTACATATAATTTTGGTGGAACTTCTGGTGATCAAAAGAAAAAAAAAAGTTTGTCGAAACAGAAGCACACATATACTCTTTCCCAAGGAAACAAATTTATTTTCAAGAATCTTGATGTCAGGCTTTCAAGGCTAAATGTAAAGTTCTTGCTTTACTTTGAGACAGTTGCCATTTAATGCTCTTCAGTCCCCCCATACAAAGAAATCATACCAAACATTTCAGTGATTTATTGTATGCAAAAATTTCCTATTGTCTAGGCAGTCACTTAAAACAGCAAATTAGCTCATATGGAAGAATAGGAGATGGGTGTCTTGCTTGCATACACACATGATAGAACCTTTAAAAACTCAAAAAATTTAAATTCCTTAAATTTTTTATTAAAATGGATATACCTAGAAATATGTGCCATGTTTAGTCAGTGGTTAACTTATATTAGGAATATCCCAGCATCCCCTGGGAGACACAAGCTCCTGTTTCAGACTTTCTCAGACTGTCAGCATAGACATAGAGAAGATTATTTCTGAATGACATTCAAATGTTTGGCCTAGATTTGGTAATGGGACAAAATGTAAAGGTCAGAAATGACAGTAGTTAGTGTTTTTTCAGGCACTGTTGGATAAGAAGAATAAAGTTCTTGAACCAAAGAAACCTCTGCTCTTTCTTCAAAGAAAGCCAGTGCCTCAACCTCGGCTTCCCACTCCAACTTTGGAATTGAGTTCCAATGTAAGTTTGAGACTTTTCTATTTAAAATGCTAAGTTCAGCATTGTTGTCCATTCATTCTTAGGATATATTGGGTTAAAAAGAAACCTAATTTAACAGTGTTCCCTTGTGTCGCCTTTATTCTTATTTTCAAACATCAAACACGCAATTACAAAAGAAGAAAAATGAAATGAAATAAAATCTAAACCCAAACCTTTTCATGAATAAAAACACAAAGAATAAAAACTTTTCCCAAGAAAAATAAGCATCAGAAGGTATTCCTCATATATGTCAAATAAAAACAAAAGATTGAATGGTAATCAGTTACTATAACTATTTTCCCACATGGGGGAGTGGCTTATGACAGCTGGAGTCAGAGAAGAACAAAATATCAGAAAGTCATCAAACAGGCTGGCTTCTGAGGGGAGCGGCTCAGAGAGCTCACCCTGACCCAGTCAGTATCTTGCCTTCATAGATCACACTCAGCCTGAGCAAGGTACCAAAGCTGGCTAGGATTTAAAGGATTGACCCAGACTAAATGAACCCACAATAAATTGCTAGAGATGACAAAATGCAAATTTAATGATTTATGGAGGGAAATATAACTCCTGGTGGAACAGGATGTTCCCCTCGGTAGGTCAGCCCATTATCTTCCAGTAGAGGGCAATTCTCACAAGAAGCCAAATTATATTCAGGAGGCTGTGCTTTGTCAGAGGGCGGGAATTGGCAGATCTCACTAGGGTGTCTGATGAGTCAGCTCTGTGGAGCCGACTGGGCTGCTCCTATTGACTGGTTAGGAGGTGCTTCTGAATGGTGCTCCCTTTCCACTGTGTGCTGACCATTGCCTATGGTTAACATGTTGTCTATCACACATGTTAATGGCATTGATTTTACTGTTGCTTTCTTTTGCATTCAGAAATGACTTTATTAGATTTGCACACTCTGCTGTCTCTGCTTTTGACAGTTATTTAAGGTGATTTTTGTAAATGGCTAATCATGTCCACTACAGTCTGATTTTACCAGTTTTGCTAAATTCTTATGAGAAGCAGCTCACTCTAGACTCTGACATAGACTAGCTGGATTCTTTGTCTACTCATGATTGAGCATGAAAAACTATTGCAAAAGGGATGTTATCAATAATACTTTTTGCTTCAGGAATGATTTTGCTGGAAAGGAGGGTAGAGAAATGAAAATGGCTTACATTACAGTGTTAGTATAACTGGATAATTTTTTTCGCTTTTGATATGATTTGTTAATGATATTTATGATGAAGAAATAATGAATTTTAATAATTCTATAAGTAAAATTTAAAATACCGTATGTTCAGTGAAGGTAGAGACTATCTTTTATTTCTCTTTAAATCTTTCTGGAATCTGGCATAGTCTCTTTTGCTTGATATAATTCTTCAGAAAAATATTTGATGCTGACTGCTATGCTCAAGCAGCTTGATTCTCCCTTTGTTCTTTCAGGAAGAAGAAGATATAGAAATGGCTGTTCTCTACCTTCAAAAGTTACTCCGGGGCAGAGTCATTCAAAACATGGTGGGTAGGGTTTAACCGCTAGCCCTGTGCTTCTTTGAAAATAGATTTATAGAATGTGTATGTGCTTGGTTCCTTGGGGTAAATTCATCCTACCGTCTGGTGGAAGTATACCCTTGAATTTTCTACTGATTCCTTCTCCTGCCATAGACTGAATGAGAGACACAGTGTCAAGAAGAGAAATGACCTGCCTGCTATTTGCTGTAGTTGTAACCAAGACAGTGTGAAACTAATGTCTTCCTTAGAATTGCTAAATCCAGCAATTTTCTCACCTGAATTTTGACCATTATAATATTACCAAGTAGATTCCCTCATTTTCTACAAAATCATACTATCATTTGAGCTTACGCATCGCTGGAAATGCCTGAATAATTAATGAAATAGCTAAATAATGAGTATAGTCTTGAATCTCCACTAAATGCCCACATTCTACATTCTTCGCTCTACATATGTCATCTGATTTTTATTTTCTACCAATTACCCTATTTTACAGGCAAGTAATGTGAGTCCTAGAGAGGGTATGTTAACTGTCAGCAAATTCAAATCTGGGCTTCCTGACTGTGAAGCCTTAGTCAGATTATTTGTGCCGCTCTTATTCAGAGCAAGCACTCAATTTAAAAAGTGGACTGATATAAAGCTCCCTAAACTTTTTTTCTCCCCGGACAGTTACAACTCTTAAGAGACTCAGTTATGAAGAGTAAGTCCAGGGAAGCTGGGTGAGCAATTTGTGTTTAGCATTATTCCTTCCTTTCCTTGTGGTGTTTCTGCAGAAAGAACACCACGGTTCAGCCAGCACATTGTGTGTTACAAACAAGGGCAGATCTATTGGAAAAGAAAATGTGGCCATGACATACACCATCCCCAGGTTTCTTAGGGAAAGAGGAGCCCAGGAAATAAAAGGAAGTTCAAGTTTGTTAATATGACCCTCTACTTACCGCCTTGTCTTTGAAAGGCATTTTAAGAAACTGAGTACTGGCTGGTGTAGCTCAGTGGATTGAGCACGGGCCTGCGAACCAGACAATCGCGGTTCGATTCCCAGTCAGGGCACATACCAGGGTTGCAGGCCGGTTCCCTGCAGGCCAGTTCCCAGCAGGGGATGCATGAAAGGCAACCATACATTGATGTTTCTCTCCCTCTCTCCTTCCCTTCCCCTCTAAAGATAAATAAATAAAAAAATAAAATAAAATAAAATAAAAAAAAAAAGAAACTGAGTAAATAGCTAATTGATAGCTAAATTCCTCTGCCTGAGAAGCTAAAAGTGTAGAAAAGCCCGCTGACCTCGCCCTGTGGAACGTGCCTGCGCTGTGGTCCCAAAGGCAGAGCAGAACCTGCTCTTCCTAAGTCCTTGCATGCGAGTCCTAGTGCCCGACACAAGTGGTGCTAATTTGCAAGTCTCTCTTTGATTTGATTTGATTTGATTTGACGCAGATGTTTGAAGGGAAAGAAAAGCGGCTGGAGTTGATTCAGGAGCTGCGCACCACCCACGCGCTGCAAGAAGACGAGAGGCTGCTGAGGAAAGCGGAGAGGCAAGTGGTTCTGGCCTTACAGCGGCAGAGGAACTTGCATGAAAACAAGGTTCTTTCTTTTCCTTTCTTTTTATGTTCTTGTTACACTTTTCCCCTTGATTTTTGTTATTGCATGAGCAACTTTATAATAATAAATGACTTGATGAAAAACATTCCCCACAATCCCATCCCTCTATCACAGTCAGCATTTTTAAACAATGCTGCTCCAGTCCATAATCAGAATGGGGTGTGCCTCACTGAACTGAATATGATCTTATATTCTTTATTTGAAAAATGAAGGAAGGAAACAAGAAAGGGAGGGGGGAAATAAAAAATAAACCTGCACTTGAAAAAGTTTTTCCCTTTCAATTTTCCTTAAACATGTGGTGACCATACTATATTTTAGTTAATGGGAGCTTAGCTGAATAAATAGTAATAAAAACAATAATAAAAAAGTGAGAAATGAAATTTGTTTTTAAATAGCAGCCATTAATTGTGAGCTTTGGAGCTGTACATAGCTCATGCTGGTCAAACTGCATAGTAAAGGTGTGAATACCTCATGATATTCTGTGACTTTCCTCTTGACCTCTACACACTGCCCACCTGACAACAGCTGCGAATTGCAGCTCTCACCCAACAACTGTAAATGTTTTCCTGTTCTGGTGTTCATCTCTATACACATAGTTTTTAATGTTGTTAACTGCAGCACTTTTCTACCTTTGCCCCTTATCTGTTAATCAATGTGGAAAAGAATCAATCTGCAGTGTTCGGTGTCATAAGAAAGTAAACTTACAGCAAAGTTAATGGGACTCACTTTTAGTGACACACATAACTCTCCTGCTGTGTGGAATTGTGCACAGACAGTAAGCAGTTCAAAAATATGCAAAGCTTTATTCCTTTTACATGAAAGCAGGACTGGGTGGCCACCGACTTTGGGGGAGCTTGTGTGAGGGAGAGGGGAAAGAGCTGCAGGCTCTGAGACCCAACAGAGGGACCACAGAGAGAGGGAGAGAATGTGGGCACTGGAGTCTCTGAATCCGGACTCCGAGAGGCCTGGATGTGATGGAAACAGGGTTGCACTTCTCTGTTCAGACGGAAGAGCAGATGCCCTGGGAGCACCAGGTCCCAGGACCTGGATGGGAAAATGCCCTCTTTGGCCCTTGGAGGTTTCTTATTATAGACTTTGGTAGATACACCTAAGCCAACCCAGGCTTTTCAACTCATCGATCCCATTTGGTGGGCATGTACACGACTGATATCATGTCAGCTAAGAGCTAAGGAAGGAGTTAATGGGAAGAGCTGTTACTAAGCCAAGGACTCACCGGCTTACTACCTTCAGCAACGCCAGTGATGTGCCGGGGCCAGATGCAGTGGGCACTCGTGGATACCTGCAGCAGTGCTGATTCCCTCCTTCTCTCCTTCTCTTACATTTTCAGTGGAAAACAATCCAGAAAATTCACAGCTCCCACACTGTGTAATGCATAACACCAGCTATTTTCAACTGGTGTGCCGTGGTAGACTGGTGTGCCACAGAAATTTTAAAACACACAGTACCTGACTGTTAGTCAGAGACATGAACCTCTTTTCCCTTAGATTGTCAAATTAAAAAATGACAACAGCCAACAAAACAGTACGTGTCCAGTATGAATGAATGAAAATTATATCACATTGGCAAAAAATACATTTTTGGTGTGCCACAGAATATCAGTAATTAGTTTACCCGTGCCCATGAGATGAAAAATGTTGAAATCGCTGCATTACATGACATGACTACAACAGAATCACCTTGTAAATATATTTTTACTTAATCTTCAAGTTAAATTGTACCACCTGAGTGGACCCTCCTTTCTTGCTGAGGGAGGAGGCTAGACACGAACAGGTAGCCATCTCAGGATTTTAAAGGTTGCATCTGCCCCCAACATGGGGGAGCTGTGCTCCCTGGACAGGAGGTGAAAATCTGTGATCTCAGGGCTGAATGATCTGTTTATCGATGTTAGGAGTAGTAAGACTCTTACCCTTTTCTTAGCACCTCTCCCTATTGTATAAGTAAAGCTGGACTAGGCAGTTAGAAGGCAAGTGTGGGCTGGGTAAGGATGAGGGTGAGTGTGTCGGGACCAACAACTACACTTGAATGACAATCTCACCCAGTAGCCATCCCACCTTGGAGAGATGTACAGGCTTCTCTCCAGGTGCAAACCAGAGGGGAACTGAGCATGCAGGCAGAACTGTCAATATCAAAGCAATGTGTCTGGGAGGAGAGCTTTCCTCCCTCACACTTGAGAATGGGAGAAGGAACAGGTAGAAGTGGCAAAGGCCACAATCTTTTAAATGCCTTTATTCTTCATGTGTCAAAGCTCATGTGTCATGAGCTCAGGTGTCATGAGCTTTGACACATGAACAATCCAGGCCTTTATTTTACCTCAGTGGTTGTATAGATATGTATTTTTCTGCTTTATTTCAAAGATAGTTATTAATGACTTATAAGTTGTTTAAAAGAATAAAAAGTGTCATGGTTTTCTACTTTCATGTTGTTCAGGATCTTAAAATTCCCCAAATTTGTGTGAAGGGCCAAGCATTAAAAAATGAAAAGGTATCATAAGTGAATTTCTAGGAGATTTCTATTTTATTAAACTCCAATGTTATATTTTAATACAACCCTTGACATTTTTCTTCATGTCTAGGAAGACAGCACTTTATATTCCAGATAAAATTGAAATAAAAAATAGGTTATGTATGGACACTAACAAAATTCTTTGCTAAATCCTCTTTATAATTTGAGGACCATAATCCTTCAGTAACTGACTAAGCAATCTACTTTCTCACATCAAAGTTTGTGTGATAAGTTTTCCCAGTAAGAACCCTTGGAGTGGGGCCAGTATAGAGATAATAATTGTAGTAAAAACTAAGTGCATGCTGAAAATAAAGTGGCTGTCAAGAGTTCTGTGTAATACAGCACCCCTCCTTATAAATCACCATTCTTAGTGGAATTTGTATCCTTAAGATCATATTATTTTTAAGGTGTTACTAGTTGAAAGCCACTTGGCTGGACTGGAAGGAAGGGCGCTGGCAGACATGTTTGACTTCCTGTCCAAAGAGCTGGTGAGACTGCAGGAAGAGAGGAGGATCCACGCCTTCGCCATGCTGGCCGACCGGCAGCGGAGGATGCGAGAGGCCGAAGAGAGTGGTCGGCGCCAGGTGGAACAGAGGCGCCTGCGGGAGGAGGACGAGATATTTAAGGAGGCAAGTGAGGGCGGTGGGATGTCTGGAAGCTGTTTGTAAGGAGCCAGGTCAAACCAAAGGAAACTCATGACACGACATGGCCTGTTTTTTGTTTGTTTTTCATTTTATAAAGCAAATAGGTATTAAGTTCCTTCTGTATGCCAGGCACTGTGCAAAGGCACTGTGGATACTTTGGACAGAAAAAAAAAACAACATATGCTCCCGTCTCTCCTAGAACCTAAATACTGTATAACCTATATAGTATATATACCTATAATATATACATATATATATATAACATGCAAGTAGAATTTAAAAAGTATGCTAAGTTTCATGAAGGAAACAAAGGGGACTCAGTGATGCATTTTAAACAGGTTCTTTTGCTTGCTGTGTGGAGAACAGGCTGGAGGGAGGACAGAGTGGAAACCAGGAGACCAGGAAGGAAGCCGTTGAAGTAGTTCAGGTCAGAGCGAGAAGCAGAAGTCAAGTGTGATGTCCAGTTTCAGGGTTAAGCAGCTGAGGTGATGGCACCGTGTTCTTAGGTGGGAAAGCTGAGAGTGGAATAGTTTTAAAGGCAGGGGTGCAATCAGAAATTTGATTCGTATTAAGTTTAGGGCATCTTAGTGGAGGTGTCATTTCAGCAGATGACTATCCATGATGGAATTTGGAAGAGAGTTTTGGCCAAAGATACAAACTTGGGAATTACAGTATTAGGTTGATAAATTAGAATTCAGACAAGACACGGTGGATGTGAAAAATTCTAAAGTGACCAAGATGCAAATTCAAGAACCAGTAATATCTCAAAGCACTCTTACCCTCATTGAGATGATAGAAGGTCAAGTGTGGAAATTGCAGGGGATTTGTGAGGAAGATTTCTTTTAAGGGAGCTGTGCTGTCACTAATACCCTTCTCAAAACACACCCAGAGGTGGGTGGGGGCAGGTGGAAATTTTTTTCTTTTTTTACAAATTTTATTTAGTTATTTTTCAAGTACAATTTTTTGCCTATTTCTCCCATCCCAGCCTCCCCCACCCCTGCTCCCCACCGCCCTCCCATTTCCACCTCCTGTAGTTCTCATCCCTGTGTCCTTCCTATTTGTTCCTCCAAATCCCTCCCCCTTTTAATTTTTTCTGTATTCTCTCAGTGAAGGTGTCTGACCCCCCCCACCCTTTGTCGAGAACAGAGAGGGGCGGAGCTGGGCTAGCAGGCTGCTTTGGAGGTGGGCGCAGAAGAGGCTGCATGAGTGGCCCACAAACACTGTGTGAGAGTTTGCTGGGGACCGGATGTGGGAAAGAGAAAGAGCCAAGCTGGAACTTAAAAGAAATTGCTATCCAGGAGGGTTGTCTGAATTGTATATGTGGTTACTTTTGAGCTTCTCAGTTAAAAAAATGCTACCTCAGTTTGCAGTGGTCTTATTTGATTTGGGATGTTAAGGATTTACCTGATTCCCATGGAACTAGAATTGATGCATGAATAGTATTTGATGTGTGTTTGTTTAAATTTAAAAATTTAATTAAAACTCAAATAGACTGCCCTTCCTCTATACAGCTTAAGATGTCTTGAGTTACATATTGTCAAGTTAAGCTTTTTAACTCTATCCCTTACAAAGTATAACAGCCTATACTAATAATTCATATTCCAGCTTCCTACCATCCTAACACATTTAGCTTCAAAAAGAGTTACTGAGATTTAGAAATTATCGGCAAATCAAATGTACTGTTCCCTACCTAATATTACTAAGGAAAACCTAGCTGGGGTGGGAAGAACCAACTAGGAGGGAGAATAAAAAAGAAAGGAACAGAGTAACCACTATTCTCAAAAACACAAGGAGGAAGAAGCTGATAAAAGGCTTCTAGAAAGGTATCTTCCAAATGGGAATGACCCCCAAAATGTCAGCCATGTCTAGGAAGGGCAAGAAAGGGTTAGGATGACTCTTCCACCTGATGTAAGGACAATTTAGGTAAAGAATACATCCATCTATTGACCATTCAAATACCATTTATCATGTAAATTCCCTGTCTCCCTTCATACAACCCTCTTAAAGATAACTATACTTACACATAAATATGCAAAAACACAGAATGTATACATTAAATACATTTTCAGAAAAATATAAATATTGAGAAACATAGATGCTAAAAGTCATAAACTTATATTTAAACACATACACTCTTTTGCATGCACATACACAGAAACATTCACAAGTATAATGCAATGTGACGATATTAGCAAAGACATGGAGGAACACACACACACACATTGCTGCCCACGTGTTTCCTTATAGGTCATGCTCATACAAGCCTATGTGTCCAGAAATGTGCACATTTATAAAGATAGACAGAAACGTGCAAGTACATATATTGCTGCAGGTGGGCCACATTAAACTTCCCAACCCTGAACTCTCGTAAGATTCAGCAGTTCAATTGGTTCAGCTGCAGCTCCCTCCCGAATCAGACCACGGGCTCCCCAGTGCAGGTGTGTCACACATCCTGTGGCGCCTCCCACAGCACAAGCACAGACCCCTATGCGTAACAGACATTGAGCAAATATATTTTGATTGATTGGTTGACACTGAATTAAACTGGTCATTTTATTCCTCCCACGGGGAAAGCACAGGGGTTCAAGGTTATGGATTTGGTGTTTTACAGGTAGATATGGGGTAAACCTTGCCTGCTCAGAGTCCTGCTGCAGTGCCAGTCAAGAAGCAGGTGCTGAGTTGTTACCGAGGCCATTCCATCATCTCAGATACGCAGAAATATGCAGACATGAAATAGAAAAGTACCCTTCCCCTGAGAAGCTCAAAATCTGTTGAGATAGAATGCATGTAAAACTATGTATGTTAACATTTGATACTTCCAAGGTATTTACCTGTAAAAAGAGCAAAACCAAACTACTACTGTGATTGCACGCTTAGGGAGCAAAGCTCTAAAGAAAAGGAAGTGTTTGCAGTAAAATCTTGAGTGTGGAGAGGGGCTGTGGTCAGGAAGAACCCACCGGGGTCTTCTGGGACACGAGCAGTGGCGGCACGGGCGCAGGCTGTGGCCTCATTACTGCACCGTGCATTTATGCACTCTGCATTTTTATGAATGCGTGTTCTCACAGTTTCAAAAAAGCTTTGAAGGACTGATAAGGCAGTTCAGAAAGCTCATCAAAGATACAGGATCCTTCTGGCTTTCTGCTTTTCTGCCCCCATGGCGTGGCCCTCATGGCAGTGTAAGATGACTTCTGATGCTCCAGCATTGTGTCCCCATGACATGACAAATGAAAAAGAAAAAAAAGGGGGGTTTTCCTTTTAAGGATCCTTTCTGGAAGGTTCTCAGATCACCTATGCAGGTATTCCCTTGGCAAGAACTATGGGAGCTAGGAAATGTATGTAGTCTTTCTAGAGACCTGTTTGCTCAGCTGAAATCCAGGGACTTTATTATTTATGAGGAATGAGAGAAAGGACATTGGGAAATACCTCTTAGGCTCTGCTACTATTGGTTAGTTTGACCAAGACATGCTATTGGTAAGAACACAGGCAGGATCCGAAACAGGATTATTAACTCTGAAGCCCATGATCTTTCCACAGTGTTGTAGTATCCACCCTGGGGAAAATCCTTAAATCTAAAATGGGTTAGATGGGTAGCAGCTGCCCAGAATGCATAGGCAGGTGGATTAGAAACAGATTGTCTAGATAGCAGAGAAAAGGAATGATCAGCGAGGGAACTACTTACTTAATGGACTAAATAAATGTGCTAAAAAATGTTGACCAATGTTTTTGTATTTTTCTTGTCTTGTTTAAATTAGCATTCCTGTTCTCAGTCACAGGGGGAATTTTGGATTTTTGCAGGTGGTTAAAGTTCACCAAAGTACTATAACCTCCTATCTGGAAGACATAATACTGAACACCGAAGAGAATACTGCAGAAGAACAAGCCAGGGGGGAAATTGAGAAGATGGCTAAGGAAATCAATGACATTGCTTATGAAATGGAAAGCCGGTGTGTACCAGGAGAAAGGGTGGTAAAACTTATAGTCTGCATGCTGTTACATGTATGTATTTTTCAGGAGTTTAAGAGTTTACCACCAAGGAAACAAATACATAACTCATGTTCCATTGTTCACTGCTTTATTAGCATAATGCTTTAAAAGCTAACATTCCCATTCTTTTAAATGGTAGGAGCATTCTGAATAGAATTTTCAATTATCCTCTGCAATATGGATTACTTTTATATTACTTACTTTTAGAACACCTCAAAGCAGGAGGCAATGTGAACAAGTACATGCGACATTGCCTGGACCTCACCCCAGTGTTTGGCTCCCGTGTATAAGCTATTCTCTGACATCCCTGCCTGGTAGGCAGGGTAAATGAAGGATGAAGCAAATCTGGATTTTCCATGGAGTTAACCAAACTCACTAGGAATGTGATATTTCACATCACTTAATCAAGGAAAAGGCAATGGTGGGATTTGAGCAGTGAGTTCCTTATATAAGTCAGGAGCTTCTAAGTATAAACTGATAGCTCAAGTAAAGCCACAAAGGAAGTAGTTTAATTTGTTTTATTTTCCAGTCGATCTCAGCTTCAGTCAGAGGAGATTGTTGCGGAGTTGGTTTATAGTTTCTTGATCCCAGAGGTGCAAAAAGACTTCGTCAAAGAAAAAGGTAAGCTGGTACAAATGCAACACTTTACGATTTTCTAAAGATAAACTATTTTCAATATCCCAGAGATCTAAAACTGAGCAGAGAATGGGAAAATTTCTGGAAGAGAATCAATGAGCTTTCTCATTTCAGAGCTTGTCAAGCCCTCGTCATTGCAGATTCCAGAATATAGTCACTTCTAGTACAGAAGGAAAGCCATTCTAACGCATTTGACAGAGTATCAAAATCCAAACCTTCTTTAAGAGGAAGTTGCCAAGTTCCCAGAAGAAGTGTATTTTGTGATTTGGTTTTTTTCAAAAACATAAAGTAAATGTTGAGAATATGCAGGGTTTCCAAACTGTGGCAGCCTTTCGGAGGCAGGGCACATTTGAGGTGGATGTTGAAAGGCTGGGTGAGGTGCCTAAAAGGCTTCGATGTACTCTGCAGCTCCGCCTGCCTTACGGGTGTCTTGTTTCTCCCAGGACTGTATCTAAGTGTCAATATGCTCCTATATCATTTGTGAAAGTGGCATGTTTTGAGAGATTGATGCTTTTAGTCAGCAGAAAAGGAGGAAAAAGGTGTGTTTTTAAAAAAATTCTTCTAGAGCTTTCAGACTAGTGGTGTTATACCTGATCCCAGAGGAAGGGGAGCAACCAGAAGATCAATATTTAAGTGAAATAACATCTGGAGGTTTCCGAGTTATGCAGGAAAATTCTGGACAGGTTTAAGAGTGGTATAGTATTTTAATTTTCTAAAGATTTTATTTATTTTAACCTAAATACAATTTAATTTAAAAAAAAGAAAACCTGAAAAAAAAAGATTTTATTTATTTTAGAGAAGGGGAAAGGGAAGGAGAAAAAGAGGGAGAGAAACATTGATGTGTAGTTGCCTCTCACACACCCTCTACTGGGGACCTGGCCCACAACCCAGGCATGTGCCCTGACTGGGAATCAAATGGGCGACCCTTTGGTTTGCAGGCCGGTGCTCAGTCCACTGAGCCACACCAGCCAGGGCAAGGTACTCCTTTTTTTAACCTGAGGGATGGGAAAGACCTTGAAGAGACCTGTATGAACATGTAGAATAATGTGACTATAAACTTTTAAATACATGCTAAGTTCTAGGGAATGTACTAAGCATACTTTTCTTTCTTTCTTTTTACAGATTTTTTATTGTATTCTTTTTCTACTACCATTTAGGCCACTTATAATTCCCACCACCTCTGAATCAACACACTGTTGTTTATGTCCATGAATCCTTTCTCCTTTTTGCTCAATCCCTCCATCCCTACCCTCCCCCACCTTAGCTGTTACCCTGCTTTCTATGAGTCCATCTCTATTTTGCTTGTTAGTTCAGTTTGTCCATTGGATTCCAAATATGGATGAAATATCATGGTATTACTGGGTTATTTCACTTAGCATAATATTCTCCAGGTCCATCCATGCTGTTGCAAAGCGTAAAACTTTCTCCTTTTTCATGGCCAAGTGTATTCCATTGTGTAAATGTCCCATAGTTGTTTCATCCACTTATCTACTGATGGACACTTGGGCTACTTCCATATCTTGATGATTGTAAGTAATGCTGCAATGAACATAAGGGTGCTTATGTTCTTTCAAATAGTGTTTTGGAGTCCTTCGGATATTCCTCCAGAAGTGGAATCACGGGGTCAAAATGCAGATCCATCTTTAATTTTTTGAGGTATCTCCATACTGCTTTCCACAGTGGCTGCAACAATCTATATTCCCACCAATAGTGCAAAAGGGTTCGCCTTTCTCCACATTCTTGCCAGCACTTGTTGTTTGTTGATCGATTGATGATAACCATTCTGACAGGTGTGAGATGATATCTCATTGGGGTTTTAATTTGCATTACTCTGATGATTACTGACCCTGAGCATCTTTTTATATGTCTGTTGGTCATCTGTATGTTCTCTTTGGAGAAGTGTCTATTCAGGTCCTTTGTCCATTCTTTAATTGGGTTGTTTGTTTTTGGTGTTGAGTTTTATAAGTTCTTTATAAATTTTGGATATTAACCCTGTATCAGACGTATCAGCAAATATGTTCACCTGTTCTGTGGGTTGTCTTTTTATTTTGTTGATGATTTCCTTTGCTGTGCAAAACTTTTTAGTTTGATGTAGTCTCATTTATTATTTTTTCTTTTGCTTCCCTTGCCTGAGGAGATATATCTGATAAAATATTGCTATGAGTTATGTCCAAGATTTTGCTGCCTATGTTTTCTTCTATGATTTTTATGGTTTTTGGTCTAACATTTAAGTCTTTGATCCATTTTGAATTTATTCTCGTGTATGATGTAAGAAGGTGGTCTACTTTCATTTTCTGCACGTATCTGTCCAATTTTCCCAACACCATTGTTGAGTAAACTATCTTTAGCCCATTGTATGTGCTTGCTTCCTTTGTCAAATATTAATTGACTATAAAGGTGTGGGATTATTTTCTGGGCTCTCTATTCTGTCCATTCATCTATTTTTCTGTTTTTATGCCAGTACCATGCTGTTTTAATTATTATGGCCTTATATAGTACAGTTTGATATTAGGTAGTGTGATTCCTCCAACTTTGTTCTTCTTTCTCAGTATCTATGTTGCTATGAAGGGCCTTTTGTGTTACTACATATCTTTTTGAAATATTTGTTCTAGTTCTGTAAAATACATGATTGGAATCTTGATAGAAATTGCATTGAACCTATACATTGCTTTGGGTAGTATGGACATTTTAATGATGTTAATTTGTCCTATCCATGAACATAGTATGTATTTCCACTTACTTTTAACTTTTTAAGTTTCTTTTTTCAGTGTGATACAATTTTCCAAGTACAGGTCTTTTACATTCTTTGTTAGGTTTATTCCTAGGTGTTTTATTCTTTTTAAAGCAATTGTAAATGGGATTGTTTTCTTAATTTCCTTTTCTGTTAGTTTGTTATTGTCATATAAAAATGCATAATTTCTGGATATTAATTTTGTATCCTGTTACTTTGCTGAATTTATCGATCAGTTCTAGCAGCTTGTTTGTGAAATCTGTGGGGCTCTCTATGTACAATATCATGTCATCTGCAAATATAGTTCTACCTTTTCCTTTCCAAATTGGATGCCTTTTATTTCTTCTTTGTGTCTGATTGATGTGGTAGGAGTTATAGTACTATGTTGAATAAGAGAGGTGAAAGAAGACATCTCTGTCTTGTTCCCGATCTTAAGGGTGGGGCTTGTAGTTTTTGCCTGTTGAGTATGATGCTGGCAGTAGGTTTGTCATACATGGCCTTTATTGTGTTTAAGTATGATCCCTCTATTCCCACTTTGCTGAGAGTTTTTATCAGAAATGGGTGTTGAATTTTATCAAATACTTTTTCTGCATCTAATGATATAATCATGTGATTTTATTCATTTTGTTTATTTGGTGAATCACATTTATTGATTTGCAAATGTTGTACCAATCTCCAATCCCAGAATAAATCCCACTTGATCATGGTGTATGGCCTTTTGGATGCATTGCTGTATTTGGTTTGCTAATATTTTGTGGAGGATTTTAGTGTCTATGTTCATCAGGGATGTTGGCCTGTAATTTTCTTTTTTGTAGTTGTTTTTCTGGTTTTGGAATTAGGACAATGCTGGCCTTATAAAATGTGCTTGGGAGCTTTCCCTCCTCTTGAATTTTTAAAAATAGTTTGAGAAGGAGAAGTATTAGTTCTTCTCAGAATGTGTAGTAAAATTCGCCTGTGAAACAGTCTGGTTCAGAGCTTTGGTTTGTTGGGAGTTTTTTGATTACTGCTTCAATTTCACTAGGTGTATTTGTCTATTTAGATTCCCTGAATCTTCTTGATTTATTTTTTGAAGACTGTATGTTTCTAGGGACTTATCCATTTCATTTAGATTGTCCAGTTTGTTGGCATTTAGTTAGTTGTTCAAGTACTAAGCATTTAGAATAGTTACTTATCTCAGTTTCTTACAATAGCTATAAGGTGTGTTCTCATCTTTCAGTTAAGAAAATTAGTGCTTAGAGACATTATATAACTTGCAGATTTGAACTGTGGTCTGTGTGGCTCCAAAGTGCCCACACTTTTGACCACACTAGTGTGAAGTGCTACGTGTTGCTGTGTGATTTACCTCATATGAAGGAATATGAGGTAAATACTATTCAGGTATCAGTAGCTGATACCTGAATAGCATAGAATCCACAGTACTGCCCTTTGCTAACTTTAAAAAAAAATTTTTATTTTATTGATTATGCCATTACAGTTATTCTATTCCCCCCTCATTCCCCTCCACCCTGCACCCCCCCACCATTCCCCCCTTTAGTTTATGATCATGTGTCTCAAGTTCTTTAGATTCTATATTTCCCATACTATTCTTGCCCTCCCCCTGTCTATTTTCTACCTACCATCTATGCTACTTATTTTCTGTACCTTCTCCCCCCCTTCTCCTTCTCCTGCTCCCCTGTTGCTAACCCTCCATGAGATCTTCATTTCTATGTTTCCACTCCTGATCTAGCTGTCCTTTTAGTTTGCTTTTGTTTTAGGTGTGGTTGTTAATATCTGTGAGTTTGCTGTCCTTTCACTGTTCCTATTTTTTATCTTCTTGTTCTTAGATAAGTCCCTTTAACATTTCATATAATAAGGGCTTGGCGATGATGAACTCCTTGAACTTGACCTTTTCTGAGAAGCACTGTATCTGCCCTTCCATTCTAAATGAAAGTTTTGCTGGATAGAGCAATCTTGGTTGTAGGTCTTTGGATTTCATGACTTGGAATACCTCTTTCCATCCCCTTCTTGCCTGTAAGGTCTCTTTTGAGAAATCTGCTGACAGTCTGATGGGGACTCCTTTGTAGGTGATTGTCCCCTTAGCTCTTGCTGCTTCTAGGATTCTCTCCTTCATTTTAATCTTGGCTAATGTAATGATGATGTGCCTTGGTGTGTTCCTTCTTGGGTCCAACTTCTTTGTGACTCTCTGAGCTTCCTGGATTTCCTGGAAGTCTATTGCTTTTGCCAGATTGGGGACATTCTCTTTTATTATTTGTTCAAATAAAGTTTCCACTGGTGGCTGTTCCTTTCCCCCTTCTGGTACCCCTATAATTCGGATGTTGGAGCATTTAAAGATGTCCTGGAGGTTCCTAAGTCTCTCCTCAGTTTTTTTGAATTTTTGTTTCTTCATATTTTCCTGTTTGGTCATTTTTTCCTTCCTTCTAGTTCACTTCCTTGATTTGAGTCCCAGTTTCCTTTTCATCTCTGTTGGTTTCCTGTGCAATTCTCTTCATTTCAATTAGTTTAGCCTTCATATGTTCCTCTAATTTGTGACTAAAATCAACCAGTTCTGTGAGCATCCTGATGACCAGTGTTTTGAACTGTGCATCTGAAAGTTTTGCTATTTCTTCGTTGCTTAGAGTTATGGACTCTGGGGCTTTGAGATCTTCCTGAGCCATTTTTGGTCTGTTCGGGCCCAATAAGTATGAGGAGCGGGCCTTAGGTGTTCACCAGGGTGGGGCTGCTCAGGTCGCTAGGTTGTGACGCTGTATGTGGGGGTGGGGTCAGAGTAGGGAAATGGCGGCCCCCTCTGCTGCCTTTGGCTGCTGGGGCCTACTCGGTCCTATCTCACTGCCCACTCCCTCACAGGTCTATCTGTGCAGGAAAACGCAACCACAGTCAACCCACTGCCCTGCGCCCTTGCTGGGTCCGCTGGTCGCTCACTGGGTCACTCACTGGGTCCACACGTTGCAACCCCATGTCTGGGATCCGCGCCCCTGAGTCGGTCTGAGTTTTCCTGTGCAACCCTGCTCTGCCAGCTGCTGGCTTCGCCCCTCTTACCGGTCAGGCTGAAGAATTCGTTGTTATCAGACTTCCGAAAAGTTCAATTTTCTGTGTTCTGGCTGTGTTTTCTGTTGCTAATATTTTATTGTCTCTAAACTTGGTTTTGTGAGAAAGCACAGTGTCTCCACCTATGCCTCCATCTTGGCAGAAGTCTCCCTCAATCTGTCTGCCCTTTGCTATCTTTATGAAATTGGGCAAATTACCTAACCTTTCTGTGCCTTAGTTTCAGATGATATCCTCATGTGGAAATGGGGATATCCATAAAATTCTCTTTTAGGCTTGCAAGGTGATTTAAATGAGTAATTATATGCCAACAGCTTAAAACAGTGCCTGACACAAAGTAAGAAAAACTGCTAAATGCTAACATCATCATGTCATCATCGTCATCATCATCATCATCATGATTACTCCTTTCCAAGGAAAATAGGATACTTAGTGTACTAAGCCTTGATAATAAACATTATTACAGCATGGAGTCAGGGCCATCTTCTAAAGTGATGAGCTCAGAAACTCATCGTCAATCCACAGGTACCCTTCCACATTAGGCACTAAGACTCAAAGAGAAATATGCAGCCCCTATCTTTAAGCCATTTATGATCTTTGCATTTATAAAATTTGCAATATTGTAAATTATCTTCTCTATTACTACTGTTTTAAAAACCTTTGGGAGCCCTGGCTTGTGTGGCTCAGTGGATTGAGTGCCAGCCTGTGAACCAAAGGGTCACAGGTTTTATTCCCAGTCAGGGCACATGCCTGAGTTGCAGGCCAGGTCCTCAGTAGGGTGCACGAGAAGCAACCACACATTGATGTTTCTCTCCCTCTTTCTCCCTTCCTTCCCCTCTCTCTAAAGATAAATAAATAAAATCTTAAAAAAAAAAAAAAAAACCTTTGGGAATGATTTGTTTCAGACTTTCAGGGTGAAAATTCTTCTGTTTTTCTGGCACAGTAAGGAATGCACAGCGGAAGCATATTCTTGCAGCCCATCAGATTATCCACAGGCACACGGAAGCCATGCTTGAAAAGGACTTTGCTGAGCAACAGGGAGGAGAGGTCTCAGACACTGACAAGTTACCTAAGGAAGAGCCTCAAAACGAGAGAGACAGCTAAGGTGAGTTTGATTTTTCATCTGGAAGGAAGTAGAGAGAGGAGGAAAAGTATCATTCATCTTTGACCTATATTCTAGCAATCACAATATGGAAAGATTGTCTGTTGTTTAAGAAAATAAAGCATATACATTGGCACATTCTGTTTAGGGTATGGAATCTACTATTAACATTATTAGAGAATATAGTTGATATTATAACAATTGGACTTTTGTAACCAGAAAATGGGACTCTATATTATTTTTATGGCTTTTTTTTTTAGTGTGTGGCTGTACTCCATTGCAAATAAAATTACAACATGTGTCAGTGTTATTTTTTTAAAGCCTGTTCTTATTGAGGTACCGTATTGCACTGTGCTATTTGTAAGCACAGTATGGGCACAGCCTGCCCAATTCTAGCCCAGATGCCTTCTGCAATGTCCACTGGGGTTGGCCTTAGGCTCAACTAGTCATCCTCACAAGACTAACATAGCCCATATTTGGTAGGATTTTATTATCAGTCTACTTAGAAAGATACAAGACAGCTTCCAGCAGGGCATCAAGCAGTTCTTTTCCAGTGGGAGCTCTTGCTATAGCCACACAGATAAACACACAGGTGTTTTTTAGCCCCCATGTTGCAGAGCTCAGGTGCAAGGAAAAGAGATTCACAATGGGTGGGTGTGGGAGTTGCCCTGATTTGCATGACCTGGGGGCACTATCTCTTATAGTAATTTCATAGGCAGGATTTCTAGGGTCCCCTCCCCCCACCTCACCCAATGGATGTGCCCAGTTACAAAAGTCAGCACACTCAGGAAAGTTAAAATTTACTGTTTCCTCTTGGGTATTAATAGTTCATTTATAATTCCTCCCAGTCAGGTGCTAGTTACCAATCAGGGGTCATTTTTACCTTAAGTAGTATTAGTAACATAGTTGACTCATATCACCTATCGGATTACTAGGAGAACAGAGGAGAATCTATTAAAATTAAATTCTCAGGAGGAGGGGAAGAGGAGTGAACCCTTTGCCTATACCTTCTCCCTCAGCCCTCCCACAGTAGGGGCACACCATCCTCTAGTTGGGCCTGAGGTAAGCTCTCTGCTTAGGGGAGGCACCAAGGCTTGGGAGAAATTTGAGCCTGGCACTCAGAAGGTTTGGGTGTCGGCCAGCTTTGTCACCAACCATATAATCTTATACAATTAATTCCTTTTCACTTGAGGCTTGCCCATGTATGAGTGACCAAGAGACCTTCCTAGGGGAATCTGTTGGGATCTAAAGGGTTAAAAAAAGACAATCAGATCATGGAAGGAGGGTTGAGATGAGGGAGCAGTTAAGAAAGAGAGGTGAGAGAAAACTGATAAAGGACTCTTAAATATCACTCTGTGGCTATATATTACAGCAGAAAGGCTTCTGATTTTAATTAATAATAAAATAACCTCTGAAATCATTGAAGCTATAATCCATGTATTTACATGTATGTTATATAGTATCTATATAAAATGAATTCAAAGACCAAAGCAGTTTGACTATCTTATTATTGTGATAAAAATCAGCCTTATTTTTGGAGTAGTCATTTTTGTTGCATGCAAATGTAATGAGATTAATAATTTACAGAGTTTGAATTGAATACATCTGCATTTACTTCTGAGTAGAACACACCTGTTCTATGACATCCACTGTGATCTGTGAAATCAAACCAGAGGAGTGCTAAAATAATTTTCTTCTTTATATTTACTGAAAGTAAAATACATTTCATTAAAACCTATGTAAAGGATATTATAGTTATAAAATAATCGTTTTAAAAATCTCATTTTTAAACTGACTTCAGATATTCAGCAAGGGAGAGCAACCAATACATTTATAAAGTATCATCTTAACACTTTATTGTATGGTTGGAACATGATGCTTAATGGCCCCCATAGAATAATTTCTCCCTCTTCCTCTCTGAGGGGAGATGGAAGGACAGAGGTGGGACTGTGAATAATACTTAGAGAAGGGGCGGTAGCCCGGACCATTGCCTTAAAGTTTTTAAAGATCAGTTTGAAGACAATGAAGAGCTAATAAAACAGTGAGGAATCTCTGGGCAAAAATTTAGAAGACAATTTCAGAGTGCTGGATCTGCCATTTAGAGCCACTTTCTTTTTCCTGCTAGAATATGCAAATTCTAAAAAATGTGCCTGAAAGGCTGAGCAGTGCTTTTACCAGCTTTGTCAAACTAAGGGGACAAAAGCTGGAGTCAGCGTTGGGGCCCTCACAAATGTCCCCCATTTGGGCTGGGGCTCTCCAAGTCTGTGCCCTGGTAGTCAGGGTTGCTTGGAAGTACACTCTCCTTCACACAGACTGCAGTTTAGCTTCTAATCATCTGAATGATCCCCCCAAAAATCTCAGCCCCAGCAATCGAATTAAAGAGATCCTTGATTCCTGTTGCCTGGAGGAACTTGTCAGAGAGAAAACTCATTTTCTCCAAATTTTCTTTGGAGAAGGTTGACAGCCTCCTACCCTCAGTTTATCTTCACAAACAATTTTTCTCATATAATTTCCAGAACACAATTGAGGATACTCAGGTTTAGGAGGAGGCATAAACACTGAAACACACAGCAGCAGAAATTATGGATAATACACACAGACCTACATAGATCAAAAATAGTGTTGGAATTACTAGATGTAGATTTTAAAATAACTATACTACTGTTTTGGATTTCTAGTCTCTAGAACTGTGAGAAAATGAATGTCTGTTGTTTTAAGACACCAATATGTGGTATTTTATTATGGCGGCCCACTCAAAGACAGATTGTGGTCCCAGGAGTGAGTTGCTGCCATAGCAAAGACTCAAGCATGTGGAAGCAGCTTCGGAACTAGGTAGCAGGTAGAGGCAGAAAGAGTTTTGAGGTGCTTGTTAGAAATATGGATGCCAAGGGCGATTCTGGTAAACTTTTGGAGCTGTCAGGATGCAATGACTTTATTTTGTATGTGAGAAGGCCATGGCTTTTGGGGGTGGGTATGGAGTGCTAGGCACTGAATTGTGTCCCCCCAAATTCTTATGTCAAAGCCCTAACCTCCAAGATAATGGCATTTGGAAATTAAGATAATGGCTGCGGGAGATAATTAGGATTAGATGAGATCGTGAGGGTGGGCCCCTCGTGTTGGGAATACTCCTTATGGAGAAGACACGAGAGTCGGTGCTCCCCGCCTTTCCCTGCCACATGAAGAGGTAGCAGGAGGCAGCCATGTATGCAATGTTTCACAAAGCAAGTGTCAGCCGTGTCGGGGTTGAAATCATGCAGGGTATTCTTTGATAAAAATGTGGTTAAACTGGAAATCAATGACAAGATAATTATAATTACGTTTGGAAACAAAGAAATGTAGGTGTAAATAATCTGCTCACCAAAGAAAGGGCCAGAACAGAAACTAGAAGATATTTTGAACTGAAAAATAACAAAAATGCTATTTAGGTATCAAATGTGTGGAATGCTGCTGATGTGGCACTTAGATAGAAATGTGGTCTTAAAAGCATCTATTAGAAAAGAAAAGGTGGAAATAAGACTCAGCATCCTTTCCAAGAAATTACAAAAAGAATGACAAATTAGAGGCACAAAAATAAGAACAAGAAATAACAAAATAAACATAATAGAAATTGATAAAGCAAAAAAATAGACATGTATTTTGATTCTAGGTAGGATATAGTAGGCAGCTGCAATAATTAGATAAAACAGTGGGTACATTGCAAGCGGCATATTCTTAAAGACCCTGGAGGGCTGTGGAAATAAGGGAGCCACGTGAACCAAAACGGCGGCGAGGAAAGGGTCCTTCCCACGTGGTCTGAGGTCTTCGGCCATCTCCTTCCCTTGGGTCGTAGACCAGGTCTGGGCATAAGCCAAGCCTCGGGCTTGCCAAAGGCAGAGGGGCTTTACAAGGGGAATGGTGATGGCTTTATAGACTTCCCGTGCTGGCAACAGTTAAAGGAAGCAGAGAGATAAATTGAAAGAATTGTTAAGCAAAAGAAACAAGAATTTGAGGCAGCATTTCAATTCCCACACATATGTGCAGTAGATATATATTTTCTGAGTTTAAACTACACTTCCAGGAATGGTTTTTGAACCTTGAAATAAGTGCAAAGGAAATCTCCAAGTTTCAGAATTGCTTTAAGTATGCAATGGAGGTATGTCCACCTAACCTTCAATCGACAGTGATTAATCTGCATTGTAATGACATGCTAAAAGGCAAATACCAAGAGAAGAGTCTAACGGAATTCTAGAAATACCTTCTATGTAATAAATATGCACAATTAAAAGCATATGCTCATGGACTGATACTAGCATCAGCCCCATATACCTGTGTGAAAGCCATTTTCAAAGCCAAGGTGGAGGAATGTCTCATTGCACACCATTAACAGCTGAACATCTGCAATCAATTTGATGATTTGAATCTCAATTAAGCAAAATGTTATTCCCTAAATAACAGGTTAATTCTCACTAGTAGGCCTGTCTTATAAAAAAAAAAACGTAGTCAATGATTATTACTGTCTTTTGAATTTTACAATAAAAATGTGTGATAGCTTGTTTTGTCTCTTATTATGTGAGTACCTACATAATGTCCTCAATTTTGTCTTTTGGCCCACAAAGCCTAAAATGTTTACTATCAGGTCTTTTGGGGTGGGGGGGGAGTCAGTCCCTACTTTACTGTAGTTAAAATGAATGAAATAGAACTAAATGCAACAACATGGATGATTCTCACAGATACACAGATTAGAAGAAGCCAAATTTTAAAAATTCTACAGTATGAATTTATTTCTATAAAGTTCAAAATACTGTGTTTAGGAATGCATAAGTAGGAGGTGGAAATATAGAGAAAAGCAAGGAAGTGATTACTATAAAATAAGAATAGTAATTGCTTTTAGAGGGTAGGGAGAGTGTTACTGATGAGTTTGGGTTCTTGTCTCCTGATGTAAACAAATTTAGACAAGGGACACTGATAAAACCAAAGGAAGATTTACTCAGGCTCTGCAGAGGGTGAGAATTCGAAGATCCCAGATTCTGTGACAGGTATGGGACTTGTGGGCGGGGAGCGTGTTACGGCTTAAGGACAAGGAAGTTGTGGGAGCTAACCAATCCGGGAATAAGTTGGCAGACTTCTCCTTTTTTGGAGCACTGATGTCTGGGTTTATGTCAGCAAAGCAAAATGTTCTGGGATTGTGCAGGACTTATTATGGTCTGTGCAGCAAAGCATTCTGGGATTATGTAAGAGTTACGGTCTGTGCAAAGGGACTTTCCAACTGCTCATAGAGAGGAGTTTGTATTTCAGCTGTTATTTCCTGCTTGTTACTTATCTGAAAAACAGGCTTAGCAGATGTGCAAGCAGAAATGCTTGTGACAAACAGTTCCCTTACCCGGGCACTGGTCTGCTTCCCTGTTCCTGTCTGAAGAGGATAGTGATTGGGGAGGAGTAAGTGGGAGCTTGTAGGATTTCTCGACCTGGGTGGTATGATACTTACACAGATGAATACTTATCCATAACTTCATTAAGCTGCATGTTGGTTTTCTGTACTGTCCTATGGGTTTAATGTTCCATAATTAAAAGTTATAACTATGTGTGTACATAGACAAGTATGTATATACATGCATTATGCCTGCAAAGTACACAGACTATTTCTGGAAAGATCAACAAGAGATGGGTGAGTAGTTGTTGCTACCCATGGAAACTGGGGACTGAAGGACAGACTGAGGGGAAAGAGACTTCCTTTCTTCATGAATATATACCCACAAAAGGATATCACGAAAGGATATATATGTATATCCCTTTATAGTTTGAATTTTTTTTTTGGTGTACACATCTTAAGTTTTCAGCTATAACCCAGTTAATGTGAAGGGTTTTTTTTCTTTTGTAAAAGTGCTAGAGTTTGGAAACCGAGACCCTATGAGCAAAGAAATGTTTGGGAGAGAGGGCTCCTAAGCAGCAGAGCTGGGACGTGCCTGGCCGTCTGACTTCAAAACCAGGGGTCTGTGTGGTTTCGCCAGTGACCTTTTGGATGTATTGTTCTGAAAACATTTCTAAAAACATGACATGCTTATAAACATTTGTGTTGTTTTTTTTTTACAGGCTATGATCTTTTTTTAAAGAAGCTGTATAAATCATCATCAAGAATTTTCAATAGTCTGTGCTTCTGCCAGGATGTGTGGCTCCCACAGATTTGACAGTGTGTGATATGGGGAGAAAGAGATTTATTTTTTTTAAACTCCCAATAATTTAAAGTGATTTGTAGTAATAATAATCAGATGAAGCAACTTTATTCTCTCTGGTGTTTCCTAGATACTCTACTTCACGAGAAAATTTTCTCATGTCTCATCTGAACTTTTTATTAACTATGAGGATATGCTAACTTGTTGAGCCAAAAAGAAAGCAATGTTACTGAATATTTCTTGAGTAGTTTAGGTTTGCTATTCATAAGGCATTAACATTATCTACTACGGTTGATAATATGCCCTTCCCATGACCCAGCATTTCCTCTCCTAGATACACACCTAGTAGAAATGCATGTGTGTGTGCGCCAGGAGGCATGACAAGAAACTTCACAGCAATACTATTTATGATAGCCCCAAACTACAAACCCAAGTGTCCCAACATTGGAATAAAAAAAAAATTGTGCTATCTCAGTATAATAGCACATTAGCTCACCATTGAACTTGAAATCTAAGAAGTACATTGATGCAACACCTATAGAGGAGTGATGTTGGAGAGTAACCTGCCCCTCCAGTGTGTCGATTGACAAGCAGCGGGGTTGACTGGGCCCTCCCTCATTTAAAAATCAGTAAATAGGAAAAACAATAAGTAAAAGTATCAACAATAAATTAACATGGGACACACATAAATAATTTACAAGAGAAATGTACGTTACTCTGATAATGTGTGTTACTCTTAGAAAACATCTTATTGTAGAAAACAAGAAGAACTACCTGTTTGGTGTTTTGAATAGGAGGCAAAAAGAAATGGCCTTTTAGTAAACCAAAATAGAGAATAATGAGAACAGATAACAGCTGCTAAAACAAAAACAAAAAACAAGTAACAACGAAACCCAGACAGATGCAGGCTGAAGAGAAGAGAAAGCTGGCCGCTACTGGAACTACCAGGGCGAACACACTGTGAACTGCATGATTGTCTAACCGCTGTGCTGAACACCTGAAACTAACACAAAATAATACTGAATATAAACTGTGATTGAAAAATTTTTAAATTAAACAAAGGAAAGCTAGCTGGAAGAAAAAATACGATAGCTTAAAATCCAATGACATCCATTTGGATGCAGTTAAAAGAACAGAAATTTCACAGCCAAGAATAAAATTGGTATGTTGCTGACAGCTGTGTTAAGTCATCCAGTATGGGTTGGAAGGAAAGGGCAAAGTTGTGAAAACGACAGAGAGGTTAGCTCTGGACGACCAATGCTATAAGCAAAACGAGTTCTTAAAGAAGAAACCAAAACATGTAAAATGGAAACAATAACTCAAAAGACTTTCTGAGCTAAAAAAACACCTGATCATACAAGCTTGAAAGGGTTTACTTTGTCCTTGGAAAACTAGGATTGGGGCAACTTCTTTTCCCCTGAGGATCACTGCACAAGTCAGGAGGCAATTGAATTTTGTTTTGTTCCTTTAAAAATGCTAACTTGAATTAAGCAAAGGTTTATATCATTCATTCCTGAAATTTTTTTTAAAAAAATCAGGACCACAAAATGAGAAGTGAGTTAGGGATGATGGGATAGAAAGTGGGAGGAGTAATGGGATAGAGCAGGAAACAACAGACCTTTTCTGTGAAGAGCCAGATAGTAACTATTTTAGACTTTGCAGGCCAGATGGTCTCTGATGCAGCCACTCGCCTCTGCTGTTGTACAGGGAAAACACCCATGGATGGCCCATGAATGAGGGGATGTGGCTGTGTTCCAATAAAACTTATTTACAGAAACTGGCAGCAGGCAGAATTTGGCCATGGGCTGTAGTTTGCCCATCCCTTCTCTATAGTGATGAACTTAAGTTAAAATCAACATCTACTTTGAAAAAGGATTTAAAGTGGCTTCCAATAACAAATGAGCATGTAACAAAACTTAGAATTTTTTTTTAAAAACCCTCTATGCTTAGAAAAGGCTTTGTATTTAGACAAAAAGGAAAATATAAAGTATTATAGAATTCCCGTTAGCTAATTGAAGTTAACCAGGAGAGGAAAACTTTTTTGTGATACTGACAACCCTCTAATTATAATGGCTTGAATTTAAACAACTAAACTTTGCAACATTTATTCTTGAAAATAAAGCCCCTTGTGCAATGAGCAAAACTTATGTTTCGAGCCATGTTATCATGGCAACTAGAGCCGTGGCAAGAACTTAAGTGTCCATTGGTGGATGAGTGGATAAATAAATAGTAGTATATGTATACAATGGAATATTATTCAACCATAAAAAAGAATGAAATCTTGCCATTTGGGACAACATAGATGGACCTGGAGGACATGATAAATGAAGTAAGTCAGAGAAAGACAAATGCAATATGATCTCTTTATATGTGGAATCTAAAGCAAAAAACAAAGATAAATCCCAAGCTTATAGATACAGAAAACATGCTGGTGATTACCAGAGGTAAGAGGTGGATGTTGGGAGAAATAGGTAAATGTGGAATAAATTAATTTTTAAAAGAATCTGTGTTACAGATGTATGACAGAACTTCATGGAAGGGAGTGGGGGAAAATTTACCAATGTAACTTAGGAAATGAGTAGAGACTATAAGACTAAAGGAAGTAGCCCTGGCTGGTGTAGCTCAGTGGATTGATCTCGGGCTGCAAACCAAAGTGCCACTGGTTTGATTCCCAGTTAGGGCACATGTCTGGGTTGCAGACCAAGTCCCCACTTGGGGGCATACAAGAAGCAACCATACATTGATGTTTCTCTCCTTCCTTTCCTCTCTCTCTAAATATAAATGAAAATAAAATATTAAAAAACTAAAGGAAGTATACATCAGCACTGCACTATAGTTAGAGAAGTTGTCTCCTGTGGGAGTATAGGTTATAGTCCTGATATTTCTATACATGTGTACTGGGATCGAGCAAATACTCTGACATGATCAGTAGTGGTTTAAAAAAGAATAGCATCTTTAGAAGTATAGCTAGGCGAGGGCATTTTTTTAAATTGTTGTTCAAGTACAGTTTTCTGCCTTTTACTCCCATCCCAGCCCACCCACCCCAGTCCTCCCCACCCCCTCCCATTTCCACCCCCCCCTTGTTTTTATCCATGTGTCCTTTATACTTGTTCCTGCAAACCCTTCCCCTTTTCCCCTGAAATTCCCTACCCTCTCCCCTCAGGTCACTGTCAGCCTGTTCTCTATTTCATTGTCTTTGGTTATATTTTGCTTGTTTGTTTATCTTGTTGATTAGGTTCCTGTTAAAGGTGAGATAAGACAAGCAACCGAATTAAAAAATGGGCAAAGGATTTGAACAGACACTTCTCCAAGGAGGATATACAGAGGATCCAAAGACACATGAAAAGATGCTCAGTATCACTAGCTATCAGAGAGATGCAAATTAAAACCACAATGACCCCTGGCTGGTGTAGCTCAGTGGATTGAGGGCAAGCTGTGAACCAAAGCGTCACAGTTCGATTCCCAGTCAGGGCATATGCCTGGGTTGTGGGCCAGGTCCTAAGTGGGGACCACGTGAGAGGCAACCACACATTGATGTTTCTCTCCCTCTTTTTCTCCTTCCTTTCCCTTCTCTCTAAAAATAAATAAAACATTAAAAAAATAAAAACAATACAAATAAAACTGCAGTGAGATACCACTTCACACCAGTGAGAATGGCCATAATAAAGCAACAAACAAAAAGTGTTGGAGAGGTTGTGGAGAAAAGGGGACCCTAGTTCACTGTTGGTGGGATTGCAGACTGGTACAACCACTATGAAAAACAGTATGGAATTCTCAGAAAACTAAAAATGAATCTGCCTTTTGACCCAACAATTCCACTGCTAGGATTATATCCTAAGAACCCTGAAACACCAATTCAAAAGAACCTATGCACCACAGTGTTCATAGCAGTACAATTTACAATGGCCAAGAGTTGGAAGCAACCTAGGTGCCCGTCAGTAAATGAATGGATCAAAAAACTATGGTACATATACGCAATGGAATTCTATGCAGCAGAAAGAAAGAAGGAGCTTGTACCCTTTGCAATAGCATGTATGAAACAGGAGAGCATTATGCTGAGTGAAATAAGCCAGGTGGTGAAAGATAAATACCATATGATCTCACTTTTAAAAGGGTATTTTTAATTAAAGCATCCCAAGTGACCTAATGTTCATTCAAGATTTAGAACAGGAGAAAGAAGCTTCTTCCAAGGGGAACTGTCCTACCCAGATATTTACTGTTTAGAGAGACTTACCATGGAAAACATGTTTTCAGTACAGGTTTAAATGATATTTTATTTCTAATGTGTCAAGGATTCCAAAAACAGCCCTGACTAGCTTTACTCAGTGGGTTGGGCATCATTCCCAAAACTGGAAAAATAAAAGATCACTGGTTCGATACCAGGATAGGGCACATGCATGGGTTGCAGGCCAGGTCCTCAGTTTGGAGCGTGAGAGGCAATTACCTTATTTTTTTAACTATAAGATGCATTTCCCCCATCCCAAATTTGGGAGAAAAATGCAGTGGTGACCCTGTGCCTGCCTCCTGTGACCCTGCTCCACCACTGCCTGGCCCCTCCCGCCCCCCTAATCCAGCAAGCCACGCACGTAAGCTACATTCGGACTATAAGATGCACCCCATTTTCCTCCCAAATTTGGGGGGAAAGTGCATCTTATAGTCTGAAAAATATGGGAATCAGTGTTCCTCACATTGATGTTTCTCTTCCTCTCTTCCTCCCATCCTCTCTCTCTAAAAATATATAAATAAAATGTTTTTGAAAAATGAATTCCAAAAGTATGTGGAAGGAAACTCTGGTACTGCCACAGCCATAACACACGCACTTCCTCCACATCAGCACACCTCACACTTGATTGTAATTGTCTACAGAATCAGCTACCTTGCTGACTGGCTTTTAGCTCTGAGGGGAGGGCAAGCGCTATGCCTCCTAAGTTCATTTGTTTCTATTACAGGCACCTGGCACAGTCTCTGCCACATGGTAATTTCTCAAGTATTTGTTGAGTGAAATTCCATAGACAACGTTTGTAGAAGCAAACATTTGTGTGGTTTTGAAAAACAGTTATGATGCAATACTCACGTACTTCTGATATCTTGGTTATCATGCCATCAGAAGTTATGATGTCTTAGTATTTTATGCTATGAAATGAGTTTTCAATAACATGATCCTAATTTATAACATTAATTTCTAGTAAATAAAGGCTTAACATTTTGTGGTTCAGTTGGTGAATGTTATCAAGTGACCAAGTAAGTCATACAGGGGAGAAGGGTCTTTGGCACTACATCCTGGAAGGAATTTGTTCTATTCATCCATGCACAAACAACATTCAATAACTTAAGAAGCCTTCAAAAATGGTTTTAGAGAAAATGCAGATATGTTCTTCTCACTGTTTGTTTTATTTTAAAGGTTAAAGAAGTTATATTTATACATAACTATAAAGTCGATTCCAATTATGATAGAAGAAGAGTTCTGCAATTCTCCACTTAAAAAAAAGGATATAACCGGATAAAGTTGTCCAACACATCTATTTAGGGACACTAGAAATCTACCAGAAATGGACAACAAATTGAAAACCTGCTAGAGATTCAGGTAAAAACAGAAATTCGCTACTAGCTCCACCCTCACCCAGCTCAGTCAGTGGCGATGGCAGTCCTCCAATCCAGCAGCTGTTCTGCCAGAGTGGGGAGACTTGATTTAGGGTGGGGAGGTAGGATGGAATCTTGTGATTTTACATGCTGAAAGTTGTGAAGTTGGTTAGAAATAAAGAGGGGGGAGCTTCCGGCCAAGATGTAGGTGTAGGTAGATACACTGCACTTCCTCGCATAACCAAATGAAGGTCAACAACCAGTTTAAAAACAAAAAACAATCAGAGCTGACAGAAAATCAAACTGTATGGAAGTCTGACAGCCAAGGAGTTAAAGAAGAAATATTCATTCAGACCAGTAGGAGGGGTGGAGATGGGAAGCCGGGGCAGTGAGGACACGCAACAAAGCAGTGGCTGGTGGACCAGAGTGGGTGAGGTGGCCCGGGTGGTCTCACATTCACATGTGGATAAACCAGAGTAACAACTGGGGACTGAGACAGACCACACAAACCAGGGTTCCAACATGGGGAAACAAAGCCTCAAAACATCTGGCTGTAAAAACCTGTGGGGGCGGGGGTGAGAGAAACTCCCAGCCTCACAGGAGAGTCTGTTGGAGGGGCCCACGGGGTCCTCAAATGTACACAAGGAATCAGCACCTGAAAGGGTACAATCTGCTGTGGGAAGTGAGGGAAGTGACTGAAAGTAGGGCGAGAGCCACGCAAGAGGCATTGTTCCCTCTCTGACCAGTCCACCACATGCAGCACCACAATGCAGCAAGCGGACTGTCCCTCCCTGATGAATACCTAAGTCTCCGCCCCTTACAATGTAACAGGTGTGCCAAGACA